CGTTATTTATAGATGCATTATTTTAGTTCCTGTTGTCAGCTCGTTTCTCTTAGAATTTGTTACGTTGTGTATTATTACATTTGTGTGTGTTAAATAGCAGATACTCTGATAAAACGAAAACTAGACACATTTAGAATTAGACAAACCCATATTTAGACAGAAGGACAGTTCTTAACAGATTGAATCAACAAAGCAATATGCATTCATTGAATTAATATGTTACGATTTTTTACTAAATCAATAATAACGAACCTGTTTTAAAAAGATAATATATATCTGACGCCGTGTTGTTTATTTTTGTATAGGTACTAGCGATGGAAATCAATCAAGACAGTAAAGTAGACTAAAAATCATTCTATGTGGCTCATAACATACTGTCATATAATATTCCTCCAACATACCAACTAAGAACCAAGAAAAATAAATAAGGTAAGCGTGTTGCATGTGTAATGATGCTGATAAATATTTTTTTAAATCCTTAAAAGGTATTTACAATTGTTATTTTAGAAATGTAAGAAACTAGTATATATCGTAATTGTGCTCTTTTTTATTTCCCGACACAGAGCTTGAAATGTACTTAACTGGATCTGTCCTGCTTTTGGCCACGGTATTGGTTGGAGAAGAATTTTACACGGACAGGGCATTCTTGTGGTTAAGTGAAGGAAACTATTCGCAATCAAAATGTGACAACAGAGACGATTTTATCGCTGGATTCTATAAGAGTGATTTACAACTTTGAAATGATACGTATTTGAAGCATGTGGAGGATGTTGAATATTTCAGCTGGATATCACCATGGGACAACACAAAGTCTCAAGTCGTGTATGTTGATTGGCCCAACGCTTTAGGTAGAGAAAATTGCTGGGTTGTTTGCCCATCAGGTTACTTTTTGAATGGTTTATATAAGAAGGAAAACAGTAAAGATCCACTAAACAATATAGAGAAAGGACGATGTGTTAAGCCAGCAGATTACCCTACAGACTATGAACATCGTTACGACATTGACACTTCCAGCTGTTTTGATAAGACAGACCTGTGTGGATGTAACACGGGTTATTATGTTACGGGGTTATACCAAAGCTCATGTGATGGAATCTTCTGTGTCAAAAAGTTTCGATGTTCTAAATTAGCCTCGGGGCCTGAACAGCTTGATGAACTGTATAAAGTAAAATCTCGCATCATGGATTTAACAATGTCAGGCATGGCTAAATTGGCTAATAAACTTGGTTATGCTAGGTGTGGAGGTTGTAGATCCGAGGCGCTAGGAAAAGACTTTAGGAGAGATGGCGACAAGTGGGTCGCCGATAAAAGTGGGCGTTGTGAAGGTTACATGATCGATAAACGTTTAAGTATGGTATACGATGATTGGAGCTTTGAGATTAAGGATATCATATCACATATGGAACGGCTGTTGTTCAAGAATTAATTCCGGAATCCGTGGATTCTGGAACAGAATATAACAATGACCCAACAGCTGAAACAAAGACCATTAAACGAACTGAGACTAGTACACGTAGAGTCACACATACTACAACCAGTTCCTGGAAAAATAGTCACGACCTCAATGTCCAAATTAAATTCACACCGCTGGAATTTTTGGTGGGTCAGTCTCATACAAATTTAACTTCGAGACAAGCGTAACAAAGACAGATCAGTCAAACAAAGAGCAGTCAATCACACTAGAGGACACATCTTCTAAAGTTTTAGATGCTTATTCTGTCGCTAATTGGACATTATTAGTCTATAGTACAAAAACCTCTATAAACTACACTGCTACTATAATTCCAAAGTTTTCTATAGAACTTCAGGGTTTTATGCGTTGGGGTGGAGGAGCAGAAAATACGTATACAAATTACCATTATCAGCATCGCGGTAGTAAAGCTCGTCCAACTTTGAACTACAAATTTGGAGATCCTGATGTACCTTTCTACAAAGCACTGAAGCGACAGAGTGTGGCCGGCTCTTTGCCGTGGCTGTGGAACGACTTAACAAACGCATACACAGACGTGGACGATTTAATCAACAGCTTATGCAATGAAAATCAATACACATTCACAATTACCGGCAGATTTGATGATGTAATAGGCAAGAAGATTAAATTTAAATGGGACACTACTACAATGCTGAGGAGATAGGTGAATGGCTACGAGAAAATTTACAGATAGATACTGTTTCAATGTTTGTATGCCTAAATACGATCCTTACAATACATGAAAAAAAAATACACATAATACAACCAAAACAATAAACGCAACACAATCTGTTTTGTAATACTTGTAAAAAACAATTTGACATAATGATTACTAGAATATTAATTAAGACAAGCGAGCTTGGAGAAATAATAACTCTCTTAATATAAATATGTATGTTGCTACAAATTAAATTGTTAATGTCAATAATTATTTTAGTATGTAATATAGCAGCTTAACACTGTTGTTTAAAAAATGCTGTCTACAATGAGAATTAAATGTATTGCCATCGTTAATGTTAAAGTATTACAGCATAATTATATTTTTTTAAAATTCAGAGTTGGTATAAAATCAAGCTTTTAAAATCTAACAGAATAACTAAATCTAACAGGGGAACATGCTAAATAATAGCCTACATATAACTTTTTTGATTAGCAACTGTTTTTTTTTTGTTCTTTGAATATTATTTTAAACATAATAATAAGGTATGGGTTAGACTACTATTCTTCACACACCTATTTACTGGTAATTGCAAAAACAATATTTACAGTTTTTCCTGGCAGCATGGTACTTTGGTACCTCATTACGCGTTTTCCCAAATGTACTTAACAGATCAGTTCGGAGTGGGTTGAAGGTGCTGGTTCGACTTTATTCATCACTGTCCGGTCACTTTAGGTCAATTATTGTACCCAGCATATACCTAGGTGTGACATTGGTGTGACATTAATTACAGCGTGTCCCGTTTTAGGTGATGAGGTGGGGGGAGGGGGAAATAACTAGCTCAGAGTGAACATAGCGTAAGATTTATATGACTGTTCTAAACATACATATAAAATTATACATATGTACTGATTCAGAAATAGATTTAAATAAGTAACAGTGGTATTATGTCAGTAAAAATTGTTTTACAGAAGGGTCAATGGGGGGAGGGGGTGTTGTAATCCCCCCTAACCCCCCCCCCACCTGCCTACGCCACTGATTGTATTGGTTCTTGTATACTATACTATAATTAATTTCTAAAGTATAATCTATGTCTTTGCTGAGTATTAAAACTCTTATAACATGCTTGGTCCAATAACTACTTAACTATGTTTTTATTTATATTAGATAAATAAAATTTTAAATTATGGTGCTTGTGTGTTTAAAACACAATTTCTTTTTTGAAAATATAAAAACCGTATAGTTTATAATATATTTAATCATCAATACAAGAAGCAGCTGCAAAAACCCAAAAATAAACTAGAGATTAACATGACATTTGCGGAGACTGCAATAAAGAACTCTAAAGAAAATAATTGGTAGAAGAAACAGATAAGGACTATGGGGAGTGTGAAAAAATAAGAAAATACTCAAGCCAAACGAATATCCATTATTTTATTTCATTTGGTTTTTAATCAAACTAAAAAGAAAATGATAATACATTTTCATGGATAATATGAGTAACCAAGAAGGAATTCCTGATGAAAAATGTAAAAGGCCATTAGAATGGTAATGTCCCTGACTCCATCCAGCTCTAATGGGTTAAGTAATGTAAATGTTGCTTGGTTTAATCCTAAACACTATTTCTTCTTATACCGAGATCACTGAAATAGGAGAACTCCACCTCATCTGCACCATGGATCGAAAGGGTAATTTATTTTATTTTCATGTTGGAATATTATTTGCCTCTGAAGATCAGATCTCGTATAAAATACCGTATACAGGTCTGTTGTGAATAGTATTTTAGTTTACTGAATGGATATGAGAATATGTGGGTGGTGAAATGTTTTATAGTAATTAAAGATGTTGAATGCGACGAGGCAAGTAAGGATGTTACGGGGAAGATTATGGTTTTGTTGTTAGGGAAGGAGTTTGATCACTCTTGGCAATGTCGTGTCAGGGTGTGGATGTGTTTGTCTTCGTTTGAATTTACATTAAAATACTAAGAAAAACTTAAACATTTTTCTTTTACACAAGCATGACGCGGTTTAATAAATATGCTATAAAAATTGATCCGATGACATTTTAACACTAGAGTATTCTAAAAAGTGTTGTTTTTTAATATCCAACTGAATTATGTTAATGCATTAAAAGCAATATTCAATTGAAAAATGGAATAGTAAACATACAAAAAATACAATTTTATAGCAGATGAGAATTTGTAAAAAATTATGATGCTGATAATTAAGATTGGCAATTATATCTAAATAAAAACGTGTAGCGGTATTTTGAACTTCACATCGTTCTTCATATCCCAAAATAAACTGAGTAGAAAATGAGAGTAGCCACACTTAAGATTAAACGATTGTATTGATAGATGTAGACTATGTAGAGGCGCTGGTGTGTCGGACCCATAAAGCTCAACCTAATATCCGGAGTTCTAATCCCCGAAGCAGATTAGGCTCAATAGCTGGAACGACGGAAAACCAAAATCAAACACCTTCTGACTTGTGTTTTGATCTTTTGTGAAAACATTCTGTGGTAGCGATTCCAAAAAGATGAGCAGGCTGAAGTTGAAGTCAAGATTATTTTTACATATCTTTTAGATGAGGATTCAACAATTACAGGTTTCTTTACTATTAATTCTTTGCTTTCGTAGAAAAATTTGAACATAAATAAAATTACTTCTCTAATACAGAGAAGGCTTGATTAAAGTAAAGTAAAAGCTGCTTTGAAGTATTCAGATTACAATATTACTTAATATGCCAAGGTCACAGAAATAATATAATCTACTTGAACTACTCCATAGGCTCAATGGTCTCCCTGGAATTTTTTTTTCAAAAAATTAATAATAATTTTGCCGATTGTTAAAGCTAATAGTTACACTATCATAGGTATTGCTAAAAATGCCTTGGATCAAATTTAAGGAGTAATATTTTGTTTTTCTTAAATATAAAAATAAACACCATGGCTAAACTTTTTTTTTTAGCGGAAATAAGAAACATCAATAGAAACAACGATGTTTGAATTTGTATTTTGTGTTTTTAGCTAATGTCTGGTTTTTACTTTTCCTTTAATGCTTACATTTTTAGATTACTAATGTTTTAAATTATTCATTTAATATAGATGTGTTGATTTATAATAAATTGGTTTCTGCGTATTTCTAAGGGAAACTACTATAGAATTACCAAACACAGAACGCCTCAATAAGGATTACAGTGATTTGACAAAATAAAATGATTTTTTAGATTTTGAGTTGTTTTTTTCTTCTAGTAATTGAAATACAAATGTCTAAGAGGAAAGGTGATGGTGAAAAATTGATATTGAGATTTTCTTGTTTTACACTTTTTGATGTATTTTAAAATCGAAAAAGGATGTTCAGTTTGCTATTTTTTAAACACAAAAGTACATTTTTTCTACAGTTCTGTTTAAAAATGTCAAGTTAATATAATTATAATGCCTCACTCTGCGACTCATAAAACAGGAAGTACATAACCATACTTATTATGTTATGAATACATTGAATAAGTTGAATAAATTGAATAAATTGAATACATTGAATACATTGAATACATTGAATACATTGAATACATTGAATACATTGAACACATTGAACACATTGAACACATTGAACACATTGAACACATTGAATACATTGAATACATTGAATACATTGAATACATTGAATACATTGAATACATTGAATACATTGAATGCATTGATGACATTGAATACATTGAATACATTGAATACATTGAATACATTGAATACATTGAATACATTGAATACATTGAATACATTGAATACATTGAATACATTGAATACATTGAATACATTGAATACATTGAATACATTGAATACATTGAATACATTGAATACATTGAATACATTGAATACATTGAATAAAATGAACAAAATAATATAAGTCGAATTTTAGCAGCTTTCTATGATAACACCTGTGTTTGATAAAGAATTTAAAGTCGATAAAGCCTGTTAATTGATGAATTTACGATTCAGAATCGTGTTACAGTCAGACTTCTTACTTCACAATCAATCTTAACGATTTACCTACCGGGGCGATAACTGTCTGGTGGTCTACTGTAAAAACATATCGACACAATTTTACCACTAGAGTTATTTTGTAAAAAGTTAGTAAAATACAAACAACTATACTCTTGACATTATCAAACTTGTAGCTTTCTGTCAAAAAACAAGTATGTATTTTACGTAGCAATGGCTTGCCTTGGCTGTGCCTGTATAATAAAGGTTAACTGCATGTTGATTGTATATAACCAATACACAATACAATCAACCGCAACCAATACCTAGTCCAGCTACACTGAAAAGTATTTAAAATAATACAAGGCTAATCTAATACATGACGCTCAAATGGACTAAGTGTCTCTGTATGTATGTAAAATGTGAGTGGGAGACAGGCATAATTATAGTAAAAAACTGGACTTGATCGCCATAGTGAACATTTTTAAAGTGTTTGTTTTTGTTTTGAAATTTAAATGGATTATTTAAAAACGCAATATTCTTCATTATCAAATTAAATTTTTATCTGTGTTTTGTTTGTTGTTAATTGTGGATAGGGTCAAGTTTAGAGTTAGAGTTAGGTTTAAGATTATGTGTTTAATTTCTCAAATGTCCATATTTGAATATGAACATTTAATTTGAAAAGTAATATATTTCATAAATCCGTGTAGGCCTATATAACGCTTATTAAACACACACGTCTCGGTCCTTTACAAATAGGTTATTCACTAAGGTCAGTGCAGGACCTGGCAGGGACGGCTAGCTCTTGAATACAGATAAAAATTCAGACACTGTTTTCGAAAATAAAGAGGGAGTAATCACTAAACTTACTCGTAAGTTTAAATTGTAGAAAAAAAAAATAAATTAGATAAATTAATTTAACACCGAATGAACGTAAATAAATGAGTGTATTATAGAGCGGAAGATAAGAGCTGTATAAAGAAAACGTTAATTATTTTTATAGAAGTTAATTATAAATATAATTTAGACACATTTTTTAAACAATCTATTGTCATCAAATATATACTAGGTAAAACTTTTTTTTTAATTGGGTCAGTAGAAGTGATCTCTTTTCCAGAAATCGGAAATAGCGAAAAGTAATACTTCCGTTCACCGGAAATCACTCGAAATTAGATAGAATCAAGAGAATTTTAATTCATTTGCGAGATTAACATATCGTCAAATAAACTGAAATTGTACTAAGGTTATCAGTATTTTAGAAACCAGAAATAAAGTTAAGTACAAGTTCCGTTCATCGGAAGTTACTCAAAAATTTTACTTAATCCAAGTCTAAGGTGTTATACTTAATTTTTAATTTCTTCTACCTAACTGAAACAGTATTCAAGTTATCGTGTACGTGCGAAAAAAGAGAAACTTATTTCAGTCATTTGCCGAAAAGCTTTTAAACTTTGAATGAGACATACTTATGTATAAAAAAAATTCCCTATGTTAAACGCAGCACAAGTTTTTAGGTTTCTTTTTTTAACAACATAGGGTAGATTATTAAGTAGGCTAACACTTTCGTTTACCGGAAATCATTCAAAAATAATACAGAACTACACATTTGATACAATATTTATTTGAAATGAAATTTCGTCAACATAACTGTAATAGTACTCTAGTTATCGAGTTCACAAACATATGGACGCACACTCACACAGAGGTACGGACAAAATTGCAAAACTAAGTTATTTCTAATTCAGGTATGTGTTCGATTCAACTACCTCCTCTATAAAATAATAGTACAAGACAATGAATACATTAAATTTATACATAATTATTAAAGTGTTTAAATTAACTTCATCGCATAACAAACACAAATACAGAGTCGCAAAAAGGGTCAGGTTTATATTAAAGCCGTAGCATCAACAGATGAGGGGTAACTACATCGAATATGTTAGTAAAGGAACTGTCAAACAATGTTTTATCCAGTTAAAATAATGCAATATATTGGAATATGAGAAAAAGAGAGAGAGAGAGACAGAGAAAGAGAGAGAGAGAGTAAAAGCGCAGAAATAGAGGGTGACACCCCATCCAGTGTCTAGAAATAAAGCAAGAATAAAGCAAGGAAGGCCAAGGGTACAGGGTTCAGTACAGGGTTGTTTTAGTTAACAACAGGTCTTAAGATCAAACTCGGTTTCAAAAAGAATTGTTTGAAACAATCGCTCCTACGTTTGTAAAACATGTGGATTAGGAAAATGAAAGAGGTAGCGACGACACAGGAAGGAGCATATAGCTGTTTGACAAGTAATAACATACGTAAAGACGAAACGTTGTTATCGGAGATTAAAGTCATTGACTCACATATCAAGACGATTGCAACTCAATTAGGAGAAGCTGGATGTTTTGAAAAAATTATGTCATGGATAGATAGGTTATGGTCTGAAGTGTGCAATTCGGTTTGCCACTGTAGTAGTTGCAAAAAGTACAATAGTATAGTTTGAGTGTTATAACTAACAGTTATATAACTAACCAACGATTCACATCCTTTTATAATATGTTGCAATACGTCACAGCTATTATTCGTTTTTGAAATTATATTTATGCACCAATACTATGCAAATAAGTTAATAATTTGATACTTTTTTCTATACATTTAAAATAGCATTTTAATGGTTTTTAAAAAAAATTAGCTTTTATATAGTATGTATATATAAGGGCAATATAATAATATGTACATTGACGGTTGTGTGGGTTTTCTCTTTTAATATGTATTTTATACTTTTCAAATATTGTTATCTTTCTATATGTACATAATATAATAAAAACTAAACAGGGTTAAAATATTAATAGTTATAACGTCTATGTGTTAATGTTTTAACTGTACAATTTTAATGTTACAACATTTTGAATTATATGTAAAAACATTCCTGTCTAAAAATAAAATGAACATTCTCAAGATAAAAATGCTTTGTCATCAACGATGTGTTAGGGGTCATCCATAAATGACGTCACACTCGTAGGGTGGAGTGGGGGTCCGTAATTTTGTGGCGATGTGTGATGAGGGGGAGGGGGGGGGGGGTTTCAGGTGTTGCGACGTCACATTTTTGCATTATAAAAAAGCAATGTTAGAAAACGAATGTTAGACGTTATTTCGCGTTTTAGATAACTGTTTTAATAAATTGTAATATTTAGACAAGATTTTGGAAAAATATCGATGTTTAAAAAAAAATTCAACTGCAATTTTGAGGGGGGGGGGGTTGTAGGTTGAGGTGTGACGTCATTTTAGGGGGGTCTGGCTTTTTGTGACGTGTGACGGAGGGGAGGGGGGTAGGTACAAAACGTCAAAAAAAAGCGTGACGTCATTTATGGATGGCCCCTTATGTTTGTGTAGCCTACACCAAAATTAAAATACTTATGGTATACTTCCGATATTTTTAACAATTCAATTTAAAAAAAACGGTATATAATTTCACAATATTTGATATAGAATGATGAAAGATGAAGATGTTTATATTTGATTCATGATATTCAATGTGCGTGTTAGGTATGTGTGGGCATACTTATTAACTTGCATGATAGTACTACTGCTAGTATTAACATAATGCTAATACTTATAATAATAAATACTTACACTATTATAATTACAACTAATAAAAATCACAATAATAATAACATAAAAAAATATTATTTATAATGTTAATCATGAGATTACTGGTAAAAATGGTAAAAGCATAATATAATAGTAATATAATAGTATAATTAAAAATAATTACACAAATATCAATGTTAATAATAATATCAATAATAATAATAATTATAATAATAATAATAATAATAATAATAATAATAATAATGGAATAAAAATTATATTGATTATAATATAAATAAAAAATAATGCTGTTAATGATACAGGCAATTACTATAGCAGTTATAATAATAACACAAATAAAGTACTATTTTAATTCATACTGCTATTATTGTAATTTAATACTATAGCGTGTACAATAACTGATTTCAATAGCTAAAACAGAAAACAAAATTATTTTTATTAATAGCAATAACAGTTATTTGAAGTGCAACACGTAGCCTAACATATTTAGTTTTCCCGTATGCTATTTATAGTAAGTAGGTCACGAACCAAGTCCATTAAACTTTGGCCGGTGTGTTGTCCTGCTACGAAACCTGTTACATCGATGTTCACCAGAATACTTTAACACAGTTGAAGCTGTGGGTGTGTGTGTTAAACCAACAGCAGTCTTCTAGTAAGTAGCCTACAACAAAAAATAAATAGCCTTACTATTACTATGTAGATAACACGACGCTACGATCACTATAGTCGGATAGTGTGTTGTGCTAACAATGTATTTGCTAGTGCCGGCTAACGAGGCCAGTGTGTCAAGCTACGCTGGGATACAGTGTATTGATCTAATCGGGGTACAGCAGGCGTATACATTTTAACATTGCTAGCCCTGTATACTTACATTTTTAACTTCTTAAAGGATGTGTGAATATATTATATCTAGTTAACACATATAGGGGGTCATCGTCACACTCGTAGGGGGGAGGGGTCCGTAATTTTGTGACGATGTGTGATGAGGGGGAGGGGTTCAGCTGTTGCGACGTCACATTTTTGCAGTATAAAAAAGCAATGTTAGAAAACAAATTTTAGACGTTATTTCGCGTTTTAGATAACTGTTGTAATAAATTGTAATAGATGTTTTTAAAAAATTCAACTGCAATATTGAGGGGGGGGGTTGTAGGTTGAGGTGTGACGTCATTTTAGGGGGGGTCTGGCATTTTATGACGACGTGTGACGGAGGGGAGGGGGGGGGAGGTAAAAATCGTCAAAAAAAGCGTCATTTATGGATGACCCCCAGGCCTAATATGTGATAATTTAGACAAACAAAAAATATGTATGTTAGAATATGGCCAAACATTCACCACCTAGATCTAGATCTAGACTAGATCTAGATGTAATACTATTTAATAGCATTCCTATGAAAAAAAAAAACGTCGTTTGGAAATACGTAGGGTATAGGTCACACTCTGTAGGTCATGCTGTGACCTTTTTGACAATTTGTACTAACGGGGGTCGGGGCGGTAAATAGGGAAAGTGTAACACCATGTTTTTCTTTTTTTTTTTCCTGCATTACAATGATATTTTAAACAAAAGTTGAACTGTGTCACAATAAAAAAAAATTGCTTAGGTTAATTTCCTTAACAATGTATCAAAGTGTGTAATCTTGACTCGTCCGAGTTATTATTTACAAATAAATAGCAGTTTAAAACAAAACCCAATTGAGAAATGGAGTTGAAGGGAACACATGCTATTATTTTGTCGGAATGAAGATTTAACTTTTTGTGACGTCATGTGACGACGAATAGTACGGCTTGGTGGGTGAGTAAAAATTCTTAAAAGATGGACGACCCCCCCCCCCCACACACACACACACACTGCACCCCCAATGATTTTAAAAAAAATGACACCATTTTTTAGAAAATTACATGCTGTGGCAGGTGCATCAGTTGTATAGTACAAAAAAAAAGAAACACTTAGTTGCTCCTTGCCTGTCAGAGGCGTAGCGACCCTTCCCGGCGCCAGGGGACAAACTTTTGATTTCCACACCCCCCCCCCCCTCAAACTTTCAATTTGTTTTTCCAACCCATTTTGGCGCCCCTACCTCCCCCCCGCCCCCCTCGCCACGCCTCTGTTGCCTGTATAAAGGTATATAATATTGTCACAGACGTCTACACCTAATTTTATATTACATAACAAATAAAATTTACCCCCACCCTCTCTGACAAAATCAATTATTCAATTCAGGACTAAATATTTTGAAAACCCCACCATTATAGACTATATTATCTATTGTTACTTGTTCCGTTTTTTTAATAAAATATCTATGTGGTTTTTTTTAGATTGATTTTAATTTTACCCTACAACAATTTATCTCATTGCTAATTAAATAAAAGGCCTTCAAATTCTGATCCCTGTCTCAAGATAGTTGGACGTTCTTCAGTTTACCCAGCTATAATGAATACCTGACTCATGTTACTAAAAGTATAGGAAGTATGGCTTAGTACTGACCACACTATCCCTTCATATACCAAGGTAGAAAAAAACAACAATAAGAAATATTATTATATATGTAAGGAGTCGACCCGCGGAGCAGTATACGCCGATATTTAGTTGTTTTATTTTCTACTTTTTAGTAATTTATAATTTGTGAATTCGACACTACCAATGCTGCCACCGAAAATATTTGCATTAAAACACTATCAGTAGCTCGTTAAGGACGATACCCCCACCCTCCTTCCCCCCAACCCCTCCCCCACCCCCACCAACCCCCTCCAACCTCCTCTCCGTCACCGTTAGTTTCAAACTAAATTATCTGCCCCTAATAGCCTTCACTACGATTGTAAACATTTAGCGTGAACCACAGCTCTCGAGACCGGTGGGGGGGGGGGGGGGGTAGTGATATCACTAGAGAGGAAGAGAGGGTGCTGCTAGGCGTACTTACGTCTCATTAGTGGTGTCCCGCAAGGTCCCCATGAACAGATATATATATATATATTTAGATAGATTCTTCATATTTTGTGAATTCGACACTACCAATGCTGCGACTGAAAATATTTTGCCTCAAAACACTATCAGTAGCTCGTGAAGGTCTATTATCCTCACCCTCGCTTTCCACTCATCTCCCCTCCACCATGGAAGAGTGACGACAGTTTACAGACGACAATGACAAGATCAAGCAGAACGTGTTATTAACTCCCCCTTAGTTTAAAATCGGATATAAACTAAATTATATGCCCTAAATAGCCGTCACTAACTCGACACGATAGTAAACAGCTCACCAGACTGGTTTTGGTCTGTTGAGCTTTCGTCTTGGTGGTGTCTCGCATGGTCCCCATGAAGAGAATTATATATATAGATTATTCATAAGCTACTACATAGCATATTTTTAAATAATAGTATTCAAATATTTTTTTTTTCAGAGATGTCAGATTCACAAAGTAAAATCTTTCTATTAACTGGTAGAACCGGCAATGGCAAAAGTTCAACCGGAAATTTCTTTCTGTCTGGGCTGTATTTCCTCCCACATAGTAGTCTATCTGATGATACGAGAATACTTCGCTACTCTGCTACAGTTACAGGCAGAGCTATAACGGTGATAGATGGAACTGGTATTGGGGACATTGGAGAAGATCTGGCTTGTAGTGCCGAGGATTTGTTGGAAAACACAAGAGAAGCTTTACAAGATGGCGGGTTTGATGTCCTGGTGTTTGTTCTAAAGTACGGCGTGAGATTCACCAAACAAGAGAAAGACGCCGTACAGAGGGTTAAAGACATGTTTGGTGAGGATGTGTTCAAAACACGAGGTGTCATTGTCATGACGTATGGGGATAATTTTCAACTTGACAACGAAGATGAAAATGTTGAATTTGTTGACTGGTGTCGTAGACAGACAGGAGAAGTTGAAAATCTTTTTGAGGAAGTTCAGTATAGGATTGTTTTAGTTAACAACAAGACCAAAGATAAAACGGCAACCCGGGAAGAATTTTTCGCTCTAACAGATAAACTTAATATTAGTACTTATACTATAACTGACTTTGACAAAAACAAAACTAAACACGATTTTATCGTCGTCAACGAGAATCGTCCAAAGCATATTAAGGTAGTCAAAGATTTCATCGCGACTGTCCATGCACAGATAAAGAAAAACTACTTCACATACGCCAGTGATAGAAAGATGTTGGTTTCGGAACTTGAAACGTGTAAGAAGCAATTAGAAGAAAAGTTAGAACTTATACGATATGAGGATAAAGGCACAAAGATTCTTCGTGATCTCGAAGACAGTTTGTCACTTGAAGTACTAACACTGAATTCGAAACTAAACGGTTTAAGAATTAATATAAATCCTGTCGACGAAGATCGAGATGCTGATTTGAAAGGCAATGGTGGACCTAAAAAACCGAAAAAAGACGTGTGGGTAGTTTGCAAGACGATAGGTATCCTACTTGGTGGAGGGTTTGTTGTATACTTTAGTTGCAGTATTCTGTATCGTTTGTATAGACACCGATTTACTGATCCTGCCGCCCCTAATACAATATGGACTTATGGACGATTTTCTCTGAGCCGTTCGCTCGGAGGCAAAATGACAAGCTTGTTGTCATGGAAGTAGCTCAGAGCTTATACAATCAAGGGGGTGATCGTATGGTTTTTTTTATAAAAAATTCATTATTTATTTTTTCTTATTACCTCTGCAATCAATTATCATTAAAGGAAGTATTTTGGTTGTGCAAGTTTATTAAAACAACATATTTAAAAAAAAATTACCTACTTCCCTATGGGTTTGTCTATTTGTAGCCTATGTTGAATCTATGGATTTAACCGGTGGGTAGTTTGAGAACACAGTTTAATTAATGTAATCAAATATTATTAAATATAATATTAGATGATGACTAGTACAATGTAGCGCCTAATGCCAAATAATAGATATTTTATACTTTTGAAAACTTTAAGCTGTCCTTGACTTATGGTCAAAATATGATGCTAGTCTAAAAGTTTCAACTCTAGATACCTTGTAATTTTGTTCAAGTTAGCTTTTTGCTGGGAGTTTTTTTTTTCTTTAAATTTAAATTAAGCTTTATATTCTAACTTAATTTAGATTAAACAATATGATTTCATCATTCTCAAACGTAAGTAGACTTAATGTGTATTCTGTGGTATCCGTCCCTATATAATTGTATTTTAAAATATCAATAACCAGAGAGGCTACACCTGAAATGTGACAACATAAGAACATTTTAAAAAATGATTTGTTTGTTCTGTCTTACTAGTCTATCTAAATAGAAAGAAAAAGAACCATTGATTGTTTACACTTTTTTTATAAAATCATTCGCCGTGTAATTACAAACTGCTTCCCAGCAAAATACGCAGGTTCCTTTTTCTTTATACATATACGTTTTATGATTTTAATAACCAATAGGCTTATAAACCTGTATTTGCATACGAGCTAGTCTTTTGTATTTTATTGATATACAAGAAAGTATTTCTTATACGAACCAGGGATCACATAAAAAAGATTAATACATAAAGATAAAATGCAATATATTTATACACACTTTTGGCATTGTTACGGTTTGCTGATTTTATTTTTATAACATGGCGTGATATAAATATGATGTTGTAGAATGACTTTTGAATATTTAGGTATCCGGTTGTTTATTGGCATCTTTAACTTTGGGATGATTTTAGCTCAATGATAAAATTTAGGTTTTTTAATGAATACAAATCACACAGCTGTCCAGAGTTCGTCTAGTTATTGCAGTTACCTTGTCTGACGGTGGGCCGTGACCTGCTGATCTGGTAGGTTGTAAACTTAAGTGCCTGTAGGATGTCACGTATAACGGCAGTATCTTTACGTGTTATCAGCTGTACATGCAGTAGGCACCCATCAGCTACAGTCTTTCACCGTTTAACTTTACACAATAAGAAAGGAATCTTATCTAATAGCTTCTATGTTATTTTTTAAAAATAATTTTTTAATACATGTAATTCTTTAATTTAGTTTCATGTATTTCTTATTATCAAAACCACATTAAAGTACACGTTGGGCGTACATACGCCTCTGTTTTCTGATACACAAATTAAAGCATCGTTCATCTATTCTACCTTCGAGTTCATTGTTGCCCGATCCCTGGCCTACTAAACTACTTTGACACCTCAGTCATAGCCTATTAGACTTCTTGGCTAAATTGCTGATTTCGTTTAATACAATTTATAGGTATACAATTTTCGTTGACATTCGTGAGTAGTGAAGTAGTTTACAGACGTGCGTATTAAATAATTTTTATGACGAATGTTCTTAGACTTTGTTTTAACTTTCGTCTGTCTAAGTCAGCATTCTGCTTATATAAATGTATTTATGTTGAGTCTTGTTAAAAACAAAAAAATTTACTTATATGAATAATAAGCAAAAGTATGGTGGGCAATTTTGAATCAATATCACTTTCAAGATAGACAATAATGTGGTTAGAAATAACATCATCAAATTGTGCCAAAAGAATGGAAATTTCTACAGACAATTTTTAATTCGGAATTTAACTGATGTTATAGAGGTAATTACAAGTTGAAAATGCATCATTTTATGGATTGTAAAATTCTTACATTTTATTTAGAAAATACATTGTTAGTTAAGTATGATGAATATTTTTTGGTTAAAAATTATTTTTAATAGTTTTTCGTCATGAACTGTGTTTGTACCTAAATTTTAGAGGATTTATTTAGTAAAATTATATTTGAATGTGATAATGAATGTATATTGTGATAATTCACGTTTTAACGTGTAACCTGTTATGCCGAAATAGAAACCAGGTCTTTATTATTTTTTCATTAAATATTAAACTAATTTATTTAAATAAATCTTTTATAAACATGTGTCTTTTAAAACTTTAAATATAATACCTAAGAAAATATTTTGCACGATATTTGAGTTATTCATCAATGTATACAATCATGGGCGTTAGTAAAATAAATTTGTTATCGATAAAATATGTTTTTCTTTTATGTATTATAAATGCTATTTTAAATTCATGTTTTAAAATTTGTTTAAAATAATATTGGAATTCTTAGCTCATCATGATATTGAATAATCTACAGGCCTAAGTGCTAATATCTATAAATTTGTTTCTATCATTTCTGTATGTACTAATAGAAACAAATTAAGTTTCAACCGTCCAAATTTATATTGTTTAATAATCGTTCTATTTAAGTTTGCCTTTCAAACAAAGAAAACTATTTACATTGGCGTGAACTAACTTCTATGAAGAGAACCGATATTCTTGAGTATGTTGTTTTGTGTCAAAATTGTTATTAGTGTGCACACCTATGTAAATGAACTCCAACATTAAATGATTCATTTGGGATCATTCTCACATAACGTCACACTTTTCTGTCAAGTTTTAAATCCCATCCCACCACCGTCACAAATCGTCAGAAAAAGCCAGAGCCCCCCGCCACCGTCAATTTGTAGTCGCTCCTCACCCTACAGGCACCCCCCCCCCCTTAAATATGTTGGATAATTTCTTTTAAAACATAAATTACTTTTTTTAAATTATTAGCTTAGCTCAGCCACATTAAGTAGTATCAATGAATTTACAAAAATGCAGTTTCTAAAACGCGAACAAACGGCTAAAATTTAGCTGCTTACAATACTTTTTCAAAATGCAAAAGTGTCAAGTAATACCCTTTTCCACTCATCACACATCGTCACGAAATTACGACCCTATCTCGTGTGCGTGTAATGTCGTTTATGGACAAACCTTACATAATAAAAGTAATACAAGTTTTAAACAAAAGTCCTTTACAAGACACATTTATTCAAATTTACAAAAATAATTTGTGGCAAACAAACTAACGTTGGATCTAAAATTTAAAAATAAAAATATATAACTGTACGTATAGAACTGCAAATACAGAAAGATGTGCCTTTCTTGAAAAAAAAACATGCTATTATGGTGCAGCCTTTTTGCTCTGCCTTAACTAAATTTACCTTTATGTTGATGGACACAAATGAACAACTTCATTGGGAAATCTCTTGAATGTTCTATTGCACTTTTTAAAAATGTGTCTACTATTTAACTCGAAATACGTGTTTCCTAAAATAAGCGATCTTTGAGTTACGATCTTTGTGCTTTGAAATACGAACAATTTCTTCCAGACCTCGTTTATCTACCCCACCGCTCCAGAAGTTCCGATTGCCCCTTCCCCCCCCCCCCTTCCACCATCTCTCACTAGTATGAACTCTGAATGAAATACGACGAACCGGTTCAGCGGGCTTGACAATTCATGGAATAACAGCAGGTCTTGCATCTAAGGTATTTAATGACACCTGTCTAACGTTTTTCCTCGAAAATGGTTAAGAACAGTGAAGAGAAAAGCACTGACGCATAAATAAAATACAGCAGATTTTAAGTTCATATTATGCTCAATAATGCTCAGTAATCTTTAGCTACATTCCATCAAGATGTTAATTGATACATTGCAATATTAAAAGTGTAACTTCATCAGATATCGTTATTTAGCAGCAAGAGTTGCAATGGCACTTATATTACAACCCAACTTGTACAGGTTGTTACGTCTCTAAGAACAAAATTATAATAGATTGACGACAGAAGCCTGTGGTTGTATATAACACATTTATTGGGTCTAACTACCTCACGATCGTAACACACAGAGAGGACGGAAGTAAATGCACAAGGGACATCACTCAAGATAACAATATAAATATAATACTAATACAGAAGAGTGAGTTCCCTTGACCTCACAATTAACTCAATCTATTACATCCCTTTACCCTTAGAACACAATAACACATCTCTCAATAGAACAATTGATAGTATCCTAAAATCACCAATTATATTGTAACATGAACATTATGGTAGATTACATCCTTACAAACAATGCACAATATGCTACAACATAATCAAAATACAAAACAATGATGTCAAAGTCCTTTTGACCTTTAGAATCATAGGTCTAACTTATTTGGGACTTTGATTGTCCTGCTTGACCTTCTCAGTGGCTTTTGATTTGGTGACTCAATATTCTGACCATTTGGATTCTCTATCTCAGGAGGTCTAGGATTTAAATTATTAACTCCAGAATTTACATTTTCTAACTCTAGACAACTTGGTTCACTCATATCAACAGAACTTGGTTGTGGAACAAACTGAGTTGGTGTGAACTGATCAGACTTGGTGGGATTGACAGATTCACACTTATTATCTGCACAAGTTATTTTTAACTGGTCTGCATGTCTACGGACAATAAGTCCATCATTTGTTTTTACTTTATAAGACACAGGTCCTGTACATTGAACAATTTGACCTGGTATCCATTTTTCCCTTCTCCCATAGTTTCTTAGATACACATTCTCATTAACACCAAATTCTCTTTCAATGTGTGTTCTGTCATGATTTACTTTTTTTTAATTGGCATCTGAAAGTATTATGCTGTTATTCAGATCCTTGACTGACATAGATTTCTTTGATTGATCAATTTTCTCAGGTAATCTGATAGTGCTTTTTCCGTAACCAAACATACTGTTTAAAAGTAATATCCTGGACAATATCACTTTGCAACTGTGATCCAGTATTTGAAGTGGGTGTATTCAATGGCAAAAATCTTTTTTTCTTTTGATGTTACCCTTTTAGTTTCTGTAAGTGCTAATGATGTTAGCAACGTTGTTTGATGATCACATTCCTTCTTACTAATGTATTCTCTTTAAAACATTTGAAATTGCCATATCACCATAATCATTTATTAAGTTACAAATACTTTGTTTAGGCAACTCTGACTGATAATGGACTGCATCTTCTCCATTTTTTATATTATCTTCACAAAGGTTTTTATTTCTTATTTAATATGGCCTTAATTCATCATTCACAGACTCTTCAGGCCAACCATTTTTACAGTACTCATATACTTTTATTAAGCACTCATCTTTTTGTGTTTCTCTCTTAATATCATTCACATTTATATTGGAGTTATCCATGATAGTGAAGAGAACAAATACATCTTCTGGTACATAGCTCAGGCTTTGGTTTTTTAAAGGTAATCTACTAAGACTATCTGCACTATTCTCAGATCCAGGTTTGTATTTCAATTCATAATTGTATGCAGTTAGTGTGATAGCCCATCTTTGAATTCTTGGTGAGGCATGCTCAGGTAGGGTTTTGTTTTCTCCAAATAAACCTAGCAATGGTTTATGATCTGTAAAGATGGTGAACTTCCTACCAAACAGAAACTTATGAAATTTCTTAACACCAAAAATGATGCCTAAGCCTTCCCTATCTAACTGAGAATAATTTTTCTCAGCCTGGTTCAAAGATCTACTGGCAAAAGCAATGGGTCTGTCACCCTTCTCATCCATGTGGGACAAGACTGCTCCTACACCATCTGGTGAAGCATCACATGTTAATATAAGTCTTTTCCCTGGGTCATAGTGAGTTAGTAAGGTGTCAGCAGACAAAGCCTCTTTTGCTGTATTAAAAGCAGCTTCTTGTTGTTTACCCCAGTGCCAAGTTGCATTTTTCTGTAGCAGCTTGTACAGTGGTGATAGTTTACCAGACAGATTCCCTATGAACTTTGCATAGTAATTTATCAAGCCCAAAAAAGCTCTTAGCTGTTGGGTATTTACAGGTTTGGGTGCTTCTTTAATGGCTTTTGTTTTCTCAGGTTGAGGTCTGATGCCTTGCTTGCTTAATATATAACCAAGAAAACTAATTTCTGTCAGCATGAATTGACATTTATCTTTGTTTATCTTTAAACCTTTTTCACTAACAATTTTCAAGACTTTATCTAGTGTTTTAAGATGTTCAGTGTCATTCTTACCAGTTATGTACACATTGTCAAAGTACACACAAACATTTGGAATGTCCTTAAAAATACTGTCCATGACAGCTTGGAAAATTCCAGGGCTAGATGATATACCAAAACATAGTCTTTCATATTGGTAGAGTCCTTTATGTGTGTTTATTGTCGTATAGACTTTTGAATCTGGATGCAGTTCTAGTTGAGTGTAAGCATGACTAAAGTCTAATTCAGTGAATTTGTCTCCTCCTGCCAAATTCAAAGAAATTTCCTCAATGTTAGGTATAGGGTACCTATTTAGCTCTATTTGCTTATTCAGTGTAGTTTTGTAATCTCCACAAATTCTTATAGAACCATCCTTCTTTAACACTGGCACAATGGGTGTCGCCCAATCGGAATAGTCTACCTTCTTTATAATGCCATTAGATTCCAATCTACTTAGCTCATTTTCAATTTTATTCCTCATTGCATAAGGTGGAACTCTAGCTTTGCAGTATCTTGGATTTGTGTCTTTAATGCTTATCTTCACTGTTCTATCATTTAGTAATCCAGAGTTACCAAAAACACATTTATTTTCAGATATAACTTTATCTAGTGAAGTAAGACTAGATTCTTTTACATTCTTCAATGAACAAATACTCTCCCAATTTAACTTAAGATCACTTAACCAGTTCCTACCTAGTAATGGCGGTCCATTTCCTTCAACCACAAGAAGAGGAAGTTTAACACTTTGACCATTATAACTTACATGAACCATACACTCTCCTATTACCGGAACATTGTCACCAGTGTATGTTGTTAGACACTTGTGACACGGCTGTAGAGACACTGATCCTCCTGTGACAGCGTCAAAATCTTTCTTTGTTATGACTGTTAGAGATGCTCCAGTGTCAAGTTGGAAGCTAATGCTCTTACCGTTGATATTAACTTGTACATTGATGGGAGCATGACTTATTGATTTAACAGAGAACAGGTTGAAATCCGGCTGCAAATCAATTTGAGCATTTTCACAGGTAGAGTGGTTCATTGGTTGGGTTAGGTAGTCTTGGTGAGAGTTAACATAGTGCTGCTTTTGGTTGCGGTACTGTCTTGACTGGCTAGATTTAGCAACAGACGAAGACTTTGCAAAGCAGGCCTTGGCAATGTGACCTTGCTTACCGCACTTATAACAAGTTGCTAACTTGAACTTGCACCGATGAGATGCATGGGGACCTTTGCATCGATGACATTTTTGATAATTATTACTAGATTTAGATCTAGGATTTGAACGAGCAGGCTGTTTAGCATAAGTTGGAATGCTCTGATGGGGTTGATGTTTATTGACTAACCTGCTGTTTACTGCATGGATCTCTGAAGGTGCTAAAGATTTCGCCGCATCTGATGACTGCTGGATTGAAGTTGCAAGTTGTATTGCTTTTTCTAATGTTAGATCTGACTCGAGCAGCAACTTTCTTTGAATATCAGGGCTGTTTACACCTGTCACAAACTTTTCACATAGTCTGTCAGACAGCGTTTCTCCAAATTCACAGAATCTACTTAAATGACGTAAAGCAGCAACATATTCTGATATTGACTCGTTTGGTTGACGAGTCCTACTGTCAAATCTAGCTCGACATAGAAACTTTGATGGGGTGGGCGCATGGTGGTCTGTTAGCAATTTGCTCAGCTCGTTAAAGCTCTTGGTATCTGGACTAGCTGGTGCGCATAAGTCCTTTAGTAGCCTGAATTGTTGAGGCCCTATGACTGTTAACAAAACAGCTCTCTTTTTGGCTTCTATCGTCACGTTGTTTGCTTCTAGGTAAAAGCTTAACCTCTCTAGGTAATCTTGAATGATTTCATCATTCGCATCAAATTCTTTTATTTGGCCATACAGCGCCATAATTCTAGAAATAATTAGCTAATAAGCTCTAGCAAACCTCTTTTTTGCGTAAGTAGGTGCTCTTTCTAGTAGATGTTTATCCTTCGTCGCCAGTTATAATAGATTGACGACAGAAGCCTGTGGTTGTATATAACACATTTAATGGGTCTAACTACCTCACGATGGTAACACACAGAGAGGACGGAAGTAAATGCACAAGGGACATCACTCAAGATAACAATATAAATATAATACTAATACAGAAGAGTGAGTTCCCTTGACCTCACAATTAACTCAATCTATTACAAAAATGAAATGCTCTGCACACTACGTATCGCTTTTTAAATTAAACTTTTTGAAATAGTTATCTATGCTTTAAATATAATTGTATTTCAACAAGAATAGATTACTCCGCGAAGAAGCGTTTAGTTCACTTCCTGTGAAAAAAACATTTTCGCGAAAAATTGGCTGTTGAATAGGATCAAGGACCGTGTAGAAATACGCCAGCCCATCATACGGTAGGAGAGTTGGCGTTGTGCCAAGACGGCTGTAGTTTCAAACGGAGAAAAGTTCTTAAACGATTCAGATCTGATATTTTCTTCTGCGTACTGTGTCACACAATCTCTATAAAAAGTAAGTTGTTATTTTTGAATAACTTGTTAATTATACTAATGTGTATACACAAACACACATACACACAAACACACACACACACACACACACACACACATATATATATATATATATATATATATATATATATATATATATATATATATATATATATATATATATATATATACATATATGTGTGTGTGTGTGTGTAATTTATATATTATTTTTTAATAATTTATATATGGATGAAAGATCTCAGAAAATTTATTGTAACAATACAAATTATATAATTGAAACATCGCCGAGTTTAGCGGACAGTTTATTGTTGTGTGTTGTTAGAGTGTGTCTAACTGAGTATGTTGACTGTATTATTTATTTGCCTGTTTTCTCTGAACAGGTCACAAATGCATAGGGCTAACATTTTTGTTGTTGGTAGAGATGGCTGCGGAAAAACCTCAACATGGTGTTCAATTCTGTCGAAAGAAATGGGTTACAAACCAGAGAGTTCTATCAAAATTGATGATAATCTCTGCTTGGGCATTGGTACAAGCGATTTTAGAAACGGGAATATAAATGGTATTAGTGCTATTGATGGGAAAGGTATAGGGTGCTTTGACATTGACAAACAATGTAACAATGTTTCCCTGGTTGAGGCCATACGAAAGGCTATACCAAATGAGGGTATTACAGCATTTGTGATTGTTATGAAGTATGGCTCCAGATACACTAAACTAGAGAAGGACACCGTGGAGAGAATTCAACATGTGTTCGGTGAAGAAGTCTTCAGAAAGTGGGGAGTTTTAGTTTTTACCCATGGGGATGATTTTGAAAGAGATTGTCAGGATAAACGCTGGTCGTTTGATGACTGGTATGCATTACAAATAGGAGACATAGCGTCACTGTTTGATGATTTTGGCCACAGGTATGTGTTGTTCAACAACAAAGCACAAGATAAACAGAGCATGGTGAAGCAGCTGATGGATAAGGTTGATGAGTTACGTGTTGGCCCCTATAAAGTGGACATGTTACAAGATGGTCCCTACACCAGAGGCATTTTAGGTGTTGATCAGTGTAAATTGAATTTACCACAAAGATGGCGTTTTAAAGTAACTTGTCGTTATGTTTGTTTAGGTGCTGTTATGATTTTGGTATTGGTGTGTTTTTGTATCAAAAAAAATAATCCGCCAAGAAAATGGTATCATTATCTAAAATTTTGGTAAATTTATAAAGCTCTATATAATCATTTATAATCTTTTATAATGCTATGTCTGCTTTACTTTCCTCTTTTTTCATGAATGATAAGTAAACACAAGAAATGTTGTCTATTGAATTTACCCTGTTTAAATATGTGGTTGTTTACGAGGGTCGCATTGTTACTGTGTAGAGGTATATCTTATAGATAAACAAATGTAAACTGAATTAAAAAATTGTAATGTTTTATTTTAATTCAATGTTCTACAAACAGTGTTTTACTTAAATAAGCTATATTTTGTTTTCAAATATGTTTTTACTATAGCATTAATTGTACAGGAAGTGTAAATAAACTTATATTAAAGTTAGCGAATATAATTATTTTAATTTGCCAAATTATTACACACCGGAAGACGGGCACATTCAAAATTATTCCCGTATTACAGACAGACGGGGTGTTATATCATTCCTCAACACAGTTTTAGAGACGGTCATATTTAACTCATTACAACAAGGCTTTCTTTATAGCAATAATATTTCATTAACAATCCAGCTATTTATCGTTATAGTAGTCTAAGCATATAGGCCTACATGAGTTATATAATGTGTACTTTTTTGTATTATGCCTTGTCTTATATGTTTAAAAGCTTTATATTTTATCTTAATAAACCATATATATCACAATTTCAAAATATCGATTTGAATTTTCCAGACATTACTCTCTGCGATCCATTATCCTAATATACAAAAGCCCATTTGCGTACTTCTCTCTCTCTCACTCTTTCATCAAAATACTTTCACAGAGTATGAGATCAGTATCTTCAGCGATATATGGAAAACTGGATACGGACTTCTGTTAAAAATAATGTTAGTTTTTTAAAATGTATAACGTACAATTTAATTAAAAAATAATAATAAAAATAAAGGAGAAACACAGTTTTTATTATACAACCTGAAAAAGTGTTTATAGTTTTGACAAGAACGCATTAAACAATGACGTCACATGCCACATGTTTTCACTGTAAAAAAAAAAACAACACTAATGGTGTCATCTTCCGATTTTAGAATATAAAAACTGAACTATTTCATTCGAATTTTATTTAGATCTAGATTCTATAAATCTACGTATTAAGACGTACGCTATGAAATATATACAATTTTATCGGTCAAACTAATACAAATTACTTTTAAAAAACAACATAATGACCATTCAATAGCCGGGTTTTTAACGGAATCACTTACGTCTATCAATCAGTGTGTGGATTTAATATGTTGTTCTGTTGACTAATAATCCATAGTCTATAATTTGGTTTTTATTTTCCTAATAGGTATTGGTAGCCGATGTAATTTTAAATGTATCTGATATTTCTCAAACATATATAAATATTAAAATATATAGGCCTGTAATTCACGTGTAACGGGTACCGACAGCACGTATTGAACGTGATGACGCGTGTGGAGTAGTTGGATTGAACTGCCTACTAATTTGGTCAAAATCTCAATTAATTCATTAAAAATTAATTAGTCATCCAATAAAGTCAAATTTAATGTCATGTTGCATTGTCTTCATGTCCTGACCCACGTTCAAACTACGAAACGTATCTATCAGTTAGAAGTGCTAGTAATTTCGCTCGGGCGTTTCGATCTAGAGTGACGACAGACTGACGACTGATGAAGAGATGAGTTAAATAAAAGCTTGTGAAAAAAGGAATTGATTAAACAGCGATTTTAAATGCGCATACTGTTTTTATAATGTGTATTTTTCAGTACTTCAAGCTATTTAAATTCATTTCAATGATGGCGGATGGAAAAGTGAAATTAAAAACTACTTTATTAAATCAAAGAAGATTACATCATGACATTTTATAAATTCAGCATTTTCGCTTGTTTCTTACGCAAATGATAAAGGAGATTTTATAGCAAATGATAAATTATTCTATTTATTGGAAAATATCATGCGTCTTGGCGAATTTTTAAAATTTCCAGCAAGCAAAAATGTTTTGTCAATTTTCAGTATTCATGGCTACATAGGTTGAGAAAGTTTTCGAAAATTTCATTTTCAAACTGAAAAAGACAATAGAGAGGTGTGTCATATGAGCACCCCCAATGTGAGTCTCATAAAATAGCAATTTTACTTTACCAAAAAAGAAAAAAAATCATTTATGGAGAAAATTAAACCTACTGACTCGCCCCTGAACTCATCATTAAGTCAACAAATTCTAGGAAATCTTTTAAGATTAGCACATATAATCGAAGCTTAAATTTTTTTTTGTGTAACGACAAAAAACTTAACATCTTTGTAAACATTCATTTTTTTAACTTTTAGTTACTTTGTTTTGGTGTTGGGAACAAAAATAATTACATAATTAGCATGGGTTGATCAAGTGCAATGTGGTAGATATTTTAAATATTGCCTTTTATTTATTGTATACGCTGAACGTACTGTTTAGTAATTATTATTTTTAATCAAAGACAGTTGGCGTAAAAAAGACACCTTTTTGTCTTTTTTGGGAATTCGTTTTTGTCTGTTTTTTTGCACGCAAAGGGGAATTCGCTTTTGTCTGTCGCACGAAACATGAACGTCGTCTTTTTTTTTACCTAACCATAGTGCGTACTTTTTTAAGCAGACGTTTCAATAGTACATTTAGCAGTGTAAAGTATTACTACGTTCTCGATTGTAAATGCAAGATCGAATAAACAATTTCTTTAAAGATCATTGTTCAAAGTTTCTGTTAGATGACTTTGCTTTGTACAGCAATTTAAAAAAAATCAATAACAGTTTAGAAGTCAGCTCTTAAATGTATTCTATGTTTACTTTTATCTATAGTCTTTGACTGAGTCGAATCCGGACAGCGCCCCGACAGAGTGTTATTTGACGCCCCGGGCCTTCTCGTGTTCACTATGGCGCCTACATTCGTTTAAGTGAACGCATTAGATTAAAAATAATTTGTGGTACTATAATCGTTTACTAAGTTGAATCAGGCGTTTTCACTGGCGCCTCAGCAGGGTGCGATTTGGCGCCCCGGGCTAGGCTGTCAGCACTTTACGTTTATGTTTGCGTGTGTTTTCTTGGTGTTTGAGTTTTGGTTTGTGGTTGGGCTTGTGTTTGCGTTTGCGTTTGGATTTGGGTTTGTTTTCGTTTGCCTTTTGTTTGCTTTTGTGTTTGTGTTTGCGTTTTTTTTCGTTTGTGTTTGTATTTGTGTTTGTGTTATGTTTGCTGTTTTTTATTTATTTTGGTTTCTGTTGGTTCTGGTTAGGGTGTGCAATGCCAGGTATATGATGATTACTAAACACACATGTAATAGTCCTTAACAGAGGCCAGAGCGGGGCCGGAACGGCTAGTATAAATATAAACATAAAATATAGTTTTGAATCCCACACCCTCGAGACGATTCTTTTTACGCCACTATCAGACATATTAAAAGAAAAGAAAAAAAATATAGTTTAAAAATATATTGAGGATACATACAAATATGTGCTTGTGGTATCAATGTTACTAGATTTCAAATTAATTATCTTTGTTTGCTGTTTTCTTGTCGTATACATCAAACGAAAGCACCTTTGAATGTGGGTTTTGTCAACTAATTACATATTGATATTTTTAAGAGGTGTAATATTTTTTACTGACATTCAAATTATATAAACGTACTAGCCGTCACGGGCAGGCCCTGCACTGGCATCTCTGAAAAACGTATCTGTAAAGGACCATAACTTGTGTGTTTAGTAATCAGCATTTACCCGGCATTGCCCACCCTAACCATAACCAACCAAAACACACAAAAAAACGCAAACATAACACTAACACAAAACAAACACAAACTAAAACACAAAAACAAACGCAAAGACAAAAACAACCACAAACACAAAAAAAGCACAAACACTAACGCAAACAAAAAATTAAACGAAAACAAATCCAAACGCAAACACAAACAGAACCACAACCAAACAAAACCAAAACACACACAAAAAACAACGCAAACATAACAAAAACACAAATACAAACACCAACGAAAACACAAAAACAAACACAAACACAACCACAAACACAAAGAAAACCAAACGCAAAGAAAAAAGCAAACGAAAACACAAACGCAAAGAAAAAAAGCAAATGAAAACAAACCCAGACCCAAGCCGAAACCCAAATCCAAACGCAAACACAACCACAAACGCAAACCCAAACTCAAACACAAAGAAAAAACAAACGCAAATATAAACTCATAGTGTCCACAATCTAGCCCGGGGCGCCAAATCGCACCATGACGATATGCGGCGTAACCGCCTGATTCCACTCAGTAAACGACTATAGTACCTAACTTATTCATACTCGAACGTAGGTACCATAGCGAACACGGGAAGGCCCGGGGCGCCAAAAAGCTTATCCGTAAATGGAAACAAATAAACATATAGGATTTGTAGGACCTGACTTATTAACTGTTATTGATTTAAAAAAATAATTAGTAAACAGTATGTTCAGTGTATAGTATTAAAAATACCAACGACATTGCACGTAATCAATCCCCGCTATTAATGTAATTTTTTTTTCCTAACACCAAAACAAAGTAATAAAAAGTAAATTCTTTCTCCCCCGATTTAATGGTTTTTTAAAGGGAAGTAACTGTGTTTTCCAAATCAAGGGACGCAAGGACAAAATGCAAATACATTTCAGACACAATTATTTTATAACCGATGATGCACTTTTTTTTTTAAATTTTATGTAATGTTCTTAATTGAAAATTATAATCTAATTAAGTAAAATGAAAATTGTTTTTAAAAACTTTCAATATTCTTCTTCTTCTTCGTTCTTAATTTTTTGTGTTGGGAGGGATCGAGCCTTATCTGCCAGATGGTTTTGAACTCGAGACTTTTTTTTCGAATGTATCAACCATGAGCTTTGCCGACTCTAGCATGCTTCCTTCACAATTAAGTATACGTGTCAACTAGTTACGCGCCATTGAGGCCATTGACTCCGATTTCAGCCTGCTTTTCTTTTTGGATTTGCTTCCATAGCCTGTGTCCAACCAAGAACAAACTACAAGGCAGCAGTTGTTTTATTTTGGAGTGGTCTGTTCTAGAAGAGTGGCTGTCCCCAGCTAACGAGCCTCATCTGCCCGAGGGTTCGAACTCGAGACTTTTCGGTTTAGCAACCATGAGCTTTACCGACTCGACCAGCCGACCCCTAATTGTTGTTTAAAATCACATATTTTGGCTGAGCATCGATCTGACCATGCTATCAATATTAATTTTAACTCATGAATTTAGACCATGAGCACTTTAATAATCTAACACTTAAATCCATTAAAGTATCGTCTTTTTATTTTTAGTTTTTTCTTATATTCCTTTGTAATGCTCCGCCACATGTAAGGTTTAGTAACTTAGCCAATGTAGAGCGTTCTTTAAAACGAGTGTTGACGCATAGTACTCATTTTGTAGCCGGGGTTGCGCCAGGTCACAAGGTTACTAAAAGGAGACACAGGTGTGGCTTGACTGTCGGTTCAACTCGTGCCCGTAATGACTCTGTGAAGGAAGCATGATCAACAGACTCAGGGTGCTAAGATAGATGCGGGGTCATTTGAGGCAAGAAATTGCACAATACTTCTGGGTTACCCCACCTCACAAACTTAAAACTCTAATATTTGACACTACTTAGTACAGGCTATATCAATTTCTTAGAAACGTAACCACGAATATTTTAATTCGTTTTTAGCAATTACCCACCTCTTCCTGCACAAAACCACGATACAATGCAGAAATGGAAATTCGTGACGTAAACCCAATAGTAAATATATTATCACATTTTTTAGTTAAAAGTAATTGCAGCGCCAGATATGTTTGATAAGATAAAATTCCTGTTAGTTACTTAAACTTTGGAAATGGTATTATCCTCAATAGGAAATGGTCGCCCAGTATGGTCCATTACAATATATTTTCCCCCTCTCCTCCCCCGCAATATAATAATATCTAATTCTTTATACATTTTTGAAAGTATATTATACAACTGCAGGGGCGTAGCGAGGGGGGGGGGGGGCGTGCGGACCGCACCGGGTGACACCATTTAGGGGGGTGACACCAAGGCAAAAAATAGCAAAATATATAGAGAAAAACTTGAGGGGGGGTGCAAATCGAAAGTTTGAGGGGGGGGGGGGGTGCAAATCAAAAACTTGAGGGGGGGTGCAAATCGAAAACTTGAAAGTTTGTCCCCGGGAAGGGTCGCAACGCCTCTGGGGGGGGGGGGGGTGACACCATTAAGTGCCGCACCGGGTGACACCCGACCTCGCTACGCCACTGTACAACTGTTACATCGGAATCTTCCTCCCCTTCGTATCAGAGCGCTAGTTTATGAGATTCTATAAATCATTTTATTTCAACAAATGATTACTCTCTTAAAAAATTCTTCCCATCACTCTACCATGTTGTGATACATGAATTGTCACTTCTATATAGGGGTCAGCTATAAAAGACATCACGCCTTTTTTGACGATTTTTACCCCCCCCCCCCTCTCCCCTCCGTCACACGTCGTCCTAAAAAACTAGACCCTCCCCCTAAAATGACGTCACATCTCAGCCTACAACCACCCTCGAAATTGCTTTTGATTTTTTTCTGAGAAACATCGATATTTTTTTCCAAAATCTTGTCAGAACTCTGAGTATTTTGATCAATTCCAATTACAATTTATTAAAACCCTTTTCTAAAACGCGAAATAACATCTATAATTCGTTTTCTAACATTGGTTTTTTATAATGCAAAAATGTGATGTCACACTATCTGACCCCCCCCCCCTCCCCCTTATCACACAACGTCACAAATTTTCGGACCCCTCCTCCCCTTGCGAGTGTGACGTCATTTATAGACGGCCCCATACAAGAGATCTTAAGTTTTAGTTTCGTATATTAGTTTTCTTTATCAGTGTGCACCATTCCTGATGGTGTTGGGGGTGGGGAGCAATTGATACTTAATACTTACTAAGGAAGTGGGACGGACAAAAATAAGCGTTTATATTTTGTAATTAAAATTAAATATTTATTCCATTTCCTTGTAATTTATGTTACAAACATTTCTTAAATGCTATATGTTTAGACACATTTTATTTAAATTGTGGAAATTATTACACTTGTATACGTAAGGATAACTTAATACTAAAACTATAACAACAATAGGAAACTCCGCGAAGAAGTGTGTAGTTCGCTTCGTGTAATAACAGATTTTCCCGAAAAACCGTCGGAGAATTGAGGTCACGGTGAAACGAGTGATAAACGAAAAGCAGGCGGCTGGTCGATCATACAATACACGGTAGTCGGTAACTTTGTGGTTGTATCGGTAGCGTTGTTGATGTGCTACGAAGGAGATATTTTTAGACGGAAATCGATACAACATTATACATTTTGGTGTGGAGATCTATGTCATAAGACTTCTTAATAATGTAAGTTATTAATTTTGGTCAATTTTGGCATATTTAAATGTGGACTCACAAAAAAAAAACACAGGCACACACAAAAGCACACACGTACACACACACTCATATATATATATTTATATATATATATATATATATATATATATATATATATATATATATATATATATATATATATATGTTATAGGCTGTATACCGCTTGTTAATATATTTTTTTTAAAATATAATCGCATAATAGCAGTAATATGTAACAGGTAGGGTGGGGAGGTGAGGTGAGGGGTGGGAGCAGAGGCGTATCCAGGTTTTCGTTGTAGGGGGAGCGAAAAGAGCAAAAAAAGGCGCAGAATTTTTAACACCTTCTATATACGTGTATTATATATATATATATATATATATATATATATATATATATATATATATATATATATATATATATATATCTAATATATAAAGCTCAGTTCTGTATGTTACGCATATGTTTGTCGTTGGTCTTGGATGGATTTAAGTGTTAGACAATCATCGTGCGCATTTGTCTAAATTTATGAGTTAAAAAATTAATATTGAAAGTGTTGGGAAATAATTTTCATTTTTCAAACTGATAGTAATAATTTTTTACAAAAATTCTAATTATGTCTTTATTTAGTCCTATAGCACTTACTTCCCTTTGATAAATTAGGAAAACACAATTACTTCCCTTTATAAAACCATTGCATTAGTGGAAAATAATTTACTTTTTATTACTTTGTTTTGGTGTTGGGAAAAAAATAATTACATAATTAGCGGGGATTGATCAAGTGCAAATGTTGTAGGTATTTTACGGATAAGCTTGGAGTATTAAAATTGTTCATTAAATTAAAACAGGCGCGTTCGTTTAAGTGAGTGCAAAAGACTATGAATAAGTTGGGGTACTACAGTTGTTCATTAAGCTAAAACAGGTGATTCCGCCCCGGGCGTTTATGTTCGCGTTAGTGTTTTCTTTGTGTTTAGGTGGGTTTGCGTTAGTGGTTGCGTTTTGATTTGGTTAGTTTTTGTTCTTTCTTTTTTCGTTTTTGTTTGTGTTTTTTTGTTTGGGTTTGTATTTGTGTTTTTGGTTGGTTTTGCGATTGGATTTGGTTTGTTTTCGTTTGCTTTTTCGTTGTTGTTTTTTTTGTTGTTGTTGGTATTGGTGTTTGTGGTTGGGTTTGTTGTTAGGTTTTTGTTTTCGTTTGCTTTTTTGTTTGTTTTTTCTTTGTGTTTGTATTGGTGTTTGTGGTTGTGGTTGGGTTTGTTGTTAGGTTTTTGTTTTCGTTTGTATGTGTAATTGTGTTAGCGTTATGTTTGCGTTTTGTTGTTTTGGTTTTGATTGGTTGTGGTTTGGGTGGGCAATGCCGGGTTTATGATGATTACTAAACACACAGGTAATGGTCTTTAACAGAAAGGTTTTTCACAGAAGCCAGAGCAGGGCCTGGCCGGGACGGCTAGTATATATATATATATATATATATATAATTACTAGCTGTATGTCATTACTTCGCTATGATATAAAATAAATTGAAAGTAGCACTCTGAAGAAATAAGAAAAAACACACAATGTAGGCCGACAAAACAAAAATTGTATCAATCTAAACAAAAAAAATATATATACACACAATACAACCAAAAACAATGAACGTAACACAATCTATTTTGTAATTCTTGAAAAAAAATTTCGTACATAATAATTCCTGGGAAATTAATTAAGACAAGTGAAATAGGGGAAATAATCACTCTCTTAATATAAATATGTATATATCTACACATTTAATTATAAATGTCAAAACAAATAAAAAAAATTACTTTAGAATATAATGAAATTGTTTAACACTATTCGTGTTTACAAAATGTTTTTGTCTATAATCAGAATTTAATATATCGTTATCATAAATGCTAAAGTATTACAGCATAATGAAAGTTTTTAAAATCAGAGTTGGTATAAAATCACGCTTTTTGATCTATTAGAAAAACATTCGGAATAACAGCCTACATTTTACTAAATATCGGTCTTTTAGTTCAGATCATATATTTCAAAATAACTACTGTTTCTTTGTGTTCTTTAAAGATCATTTTTAACATAGTGATAGGTATGGGTTAGATCACTGTATTGATCACACACCTGTTTACTGGAAATTGCAAAAACAATATTCACAGAGTTTTACGTTTAAAAAGCTAATTTTCTGGCGGCATTGTACTTTGGTACATCATTACGCGTTTTTCTACACGTACTTAACAGATCAGATCGGGGTGGGTTGGGGGGGGGGTTCAACTTCATTCACCACTGTCCGGTCACTTTAGGTCAATTATCCAACCCAGTGTACACCTAGGTGTGACATTAATGTCGCTCTACACAATTGTAGTGGTGAGGTGTGTGAGGGGGGGGGGAGATAACCAACTCAGAGTAAACATAGCGTCAGTTTTTAGATGACTGTTCTAAACATACATATATTAAACAAATATATATTACGCAAATATATATTACAGAAATAGATTTAAATAAGTAGCAGAGGTATTATGACAATTTTTTTTTACAGTGGGTTCCTTGGGGGAGGGGGGTTGTAACTGTTTCATATAATTTGTAATTGTAATCACTATCGCCCAAACTGTAAAAATAATACTACTTCATCGTGATGACGTTGTTGGCCTTGTCAAAATTTCCCCACCACTACGTAGTTTGCTCATAAGTAAATTTAAATAGAGGTGCCCCATCAGTTGTATTTGTTTCTGTATTGTAATTTTTTTTAAAAATAATCACACGACTCAAACTGTATATATAAAGTAATTATGTGTGAAGTTTTATGTATAACATTTTCTAATTCAATTATTCGTAAGCAAATACATTATACAGTTGCCTTAAACTTAACACCCCTCTTGCCAAGTGGTACTACCCTTAGAGGTTTTTTAAACATTGCAATGCATCAAAAGGTTATTTTTAGAATGGCAAACTGATGCAGCTGTTAATACGTGTTGTAAACGTAGACACAACTAGGCTAGTACAATAATGCTTAATTGCTGCATGAAAAGAAATCTTGTGATTTACATAGATGTGCCGACCAAAAATATTTTTTTAACAAATATCATTGTTTAAAACTTTAAAAAGTTTCCAAAAAGGCGCCACTTTGCTGAAAATGGCCAGAGGGGGAGCGGCCGCTCCCCCTGCTCCCCCCCTGCGTACGCTACTGGGTGGGAGGGGGGGGGGGTTCCATACATGCATTCATCCCTCTCCGCTAACTTCATGTCTATAACCTTATGTCGCTATACACATTTACGGCCAGTTCCGTTCTTGTGGTGGTGATGGTGGAGGGAAGTTAGGGTGCGATAACGGTCGGATACCCATTCAGATAATACATGGCATCATGTTTAGGGTATTATAACAATATTTATATTTTTGCATTTTTACTAATTTAAAAACGTAACAGTGGTATTATGACATTTATTTTGAATAGAGTGGACCATGGGCGGGAGGTAGTGGGCTCGGGACGGGGTTATAACCCCCTTACTTCTTTGTATATATATATATATATATATATATATATATATATATATATATATATATATATATATATATATATATATATATATATATATATATATATATATATATATATATATATATATATGTATATATATACATATATATATATATACATATATATATATATACATATATTTATATATATATATATATATATATATATATATATATATATATATATGCGTGTGTGTGTGTTTGTTTGTGTGTGTGTGTGTGTGTGTGTGTGTGTGTGCCTTATTGAATGTCACATTTGCTGTGATTATTAAGGACACCGAGATATCTGCCTTTGGAAATAGTGTACACATTGAATAGATCTCGGTATTGTGACTGCTCATGTAGAAGTACAAGTTACAAACCATAATTAAGATTAATAATTATTTCTGTGTAGAGAATCACACAAAGGTAATGTACAAGGACTGAAACTTCTCATATATTATTATATGTAATGAAACCATGAGCTAAAAGTAAAGTGTCTCGTATCGTGTTCTGTTTTAGTGTGTTTATTTGTGTTTGATTAAAAAAAACGTATTTTCTTCAAACAGGTCATCAATGGTTAGAGCTAAACTTTTCATTGTTGGGAGAGACGGCAACGGAAAAACTTCAACATGTAGATCAATTTTGTCGAAACAAACTCGCGACCAACTAGATAAGTTTATTTACATTAACGATACACTGGCGATTGGTATTGGTACAAGAAAGTCTGAAAACTTTGAGGTAACAGCCATTGATGGGAAATGTGTTGGGGACACAGAACCAGATCTGCCAAGCACATCCTTACTTGTAGCTGCCATAAGAAAAGCTATCCCACCTGAGGGTATCACAGCATTTGTGTTTGTTATGAAATACGGCACTAGATATACTAAACAAGAGAAGGACGCTGTTGATAAAATTAAACGTTTATTCGGCGAAGATGTCTTCAGAAAGTGGGGAGTTTTAGTTTTTACCCATGGGGATAATTTTGATCTTGATCATGAGGATGAAAAAATGGATTTTGATGCCTGGTGTAAGGAACAACAAGGAGATATTGCGTCACTGTTTGTTGAATGTGGCCACAGGTATGTGTTGTTCAATAACAAATCACAAGATAAACAGGGCATGGTGCTGAAACTGATGGGAAAAGTTAAATTGTTACGAGATGGTCCCTACTTTGGAGGTGGATTGTGTAGCAAATCTTATACCACATCGGTGGTTGAGTTTTTACGGAAGCATAGTGTATTGTGCGCCTCATCAATAAGCTTACTAGCTCTGTCTTTACCATTACGTAATACCATATGGCGGTATGCTAAGGCAGCAAACACAAAAACTATTCTGGCTGTTTTCGTCATCAATGCAATGTTTTTATGGCCGGCTAGAAGTTCAATTCTTAAAATGTCTTCAACCACTGATAAACATCTAGCTAAATCTACAAGTGTTATCGAGGACAGTGATAAAGAAGATAACTCTAATAATGATCATAAAGAATACATCAGATGTTTACTAAATAAACACAAAAGGACTATCATTGTTGTGGGTATAGGGGTTATAGTCGCTTACAGCTGTATTAAAGGTAATTGGTTCAGATCAAGGTTGCCCTAACAATGACCAATTTAAACATTTTTAAAAATAATTCATTTAAATGTCGGTCTATTGTATTGTTTTTAAACTAAGTTGTAACTCAAGAGACACATTAATCTAATGTTAAGTGAATTTTCTTCTACATGTCATATGCAATAAATAGTCGCTTTTTAAAAAAATCTAGGTAGGACGGTGAAGTATTATTATAATAAGTAATTTTCTTGTTTGCTATACTGTATGTAAATGACAGAGTTTTATCATAATAAAGAATAACATATTTTCGTTACTGAAAATGGTAGTCGACGTTCTAGTTCACTACACTTGTACAGTTGAAAAAATAGCCATACAATGTGCTCAAACCACATACATAGCATAGAGATAATAGTCATACATTTACTTCTTATTCTAAAAGATTTTTTACAATGCATGGTTTATCCTTGTAATTGTTAATGTTAAGATTTTGTATTACCTAATGTTCGATTTTTTTCTCATATTAAAATAATTCATTAAAACGCAATGGTTTAATTTTAGTTTTTTTTTCTAAAAATTGTTATCACTTTTCGCTTTGTATTGTCTTGGCTGTGGTTCAGGATGTATGAGAACTTACATGAGACGTATTGCAGACCGTGTTTATGGAGTCATTTTATAAGCAAATACACACTTTCTTAAAAAATAAATGCATTTTATTACTACACACGTATATAGAGGACTAAGGGTTTTATATATATATCGTGTAAGTCACATTGTAAACCACATACAGTGATAAGAATAATTCTTGCGTGACTAAGATATACATAAAATTTGGGGGTAAAAGCGTACTTTATTGCTCTTTAGCAAGTTGAGCCAATAAAGTGGTCTTCATGTGATTTAGTGATCATGAAATGCAAAAACATAGCGCAGTCACTTTAAGCTCAATAAGTCTTGCGTAAGTCATGAACCAATCATAGCAGAGTGATTTCTTACGTTTCCCACCATACCGAGATTGGGTTTAAACTAGAAACAACACTGTCAATTGTTTAAAGAATGTAGACAGAGAAAAGTAAATCTAAAATTAAAACAAAATTACGATTAGTATGTAAGACTGACATATAAAAGGGTGAAGGAAAAATCACTTGCTCGGAGCTGGCATACTAAGAGGAAGATAAAATAGATTTCACAAGTGTCTGTGATTTGGATATATGACATGAATGTTTAGTCAACACAGTACCCACCAGAGCTAGAGGGAACCAGGAGCATCCTCCGAACTATTGCCCGCGATCCGAACTCGAGACTTTGGTGCATGCAGTCATGTATTCTATCAAGCGACCACCTCCTCCCATACTCGAGGACACTGAAACGCGTGTGTGTTTATTGTTTACATATGTTACTGTATATTATTGAATACTTTGTAATTACGTATTGAGCATTTCTTAAACGAACGTCTTTATTAAGGGATTTAGTGGGACTAATCCTCACTTTCTGATGTAAACTTCCAATGCTACTTGCTAGACCTAAAACATAGTTATTGTGTCCTTGCTAATTTTATCTCAAAAAGCTTTATAATTTCTACAAAATCCTCTTTTGTTATTTTCGATTATAGGCCTATTTGTTTTTCTACTTCAGTTTTCATTCGATTTCCTCTATTATTTAAAAAAAAATAAACTACCACATTCTAAGCAATTGTTGTATTACATCTGTTACCATTATTCACTACAATGTATGTTTTGTATTGATTAAGTACAGAGGCATAGCGAGAGGGGCCGGGGGGTACATATGTCCCCGGGCGCCGACCTTGAGGCGCCAAAATGGGTCGAAAAAACTAAGTGAAATTTTGAGTGGGGGGGGGGGGGGGGAAGAGGTGATGTTGAAAGTTTAAGGGGGTGGGGCAAATTGAAAGTTTGAAAGGAGGGGGGGAGGTGCAAATGGCAAATTGAAAGTTTGTCCCCGGGCGTCGGGAAGGGTCGTTACGCCTCTGATTAATTATACTCTACATCTTCGCAAAGCTTGATGTATTTTCTTTTCTACGAAACGTAAATTTTCCCGAAAATCCTATCTAGGTCACGGATATAAATAGACGCGTTGCTGGCCTTTTCGAAACAGAAGTGGGAAAAACGATGCAGATGATGTGATGCACTACAGAAGGATTGCGCAGGCGGTTTGAGCAGACTATTTTGACTGTTGTTTATGAGTTGATGTTTTTAAGCAGCATACTTTGACTTTTGTATATGAGTTGATGTTTTTAAGCAGAATACTTTGACTGTCGTATATGAGTTGACGTTTTAACACAGTACTGCTTCAAAATGTAAGTATAAATATCATTATATATGTATCAATATATATATATATATATATATATATATATATATATATATATATATATATATATATATATATATATATATATATATATATATATATATATATATTGCATTTAGTATAATATGTCAATCAGTTTTTTATTGTATACTTTAAATAGGTTTAATATCAACCTTTTCATGGTTGGACGAGATGGCAGCGGAAAAACTTCAACTTGGAAGTCAATTTTGTCACAAGGTCATGTAGAACCATCGCATTTTATTAACATTGAGGGTGACCTCGAAATGAATGTTGGTACAGGCTTGTTTAAAGGAAAATCGATTACTGCCATAGATGGGAAATGTGTTGGGGACACAGAACCGGACCTACAATGTAGCATGTCGTCATTGATTCCTGCCATAAGGAAGGTTATTCCACGTTATGGAATCACGGCATTTGTGTTTGTTATGAAGTACGGCACTAGATACACTAAACAAGAGAAGGACTCCGTTGAGAGAATTAAACTTTTGTTCGGCGAAGACGTCTTCAGAAAATGGGGAGTTTTAGTTTTTACTCATGGGGATAATTTTGCTCTTGATCATGAAGTTGAAAATGTATCTTTTGATGACTGGTGTATGGAACAACAAGGAGATATCGCGTCACTGTTTGCTGAGTGTGGCCACAGGTATGTGTTGTTCAATAACAAATCACAAGATAAACAGAGCATGGTGCTGAAACTGATGGAAAAAGTTCAATTGTTACGAGCTGGTCCCTACTTTGGAGGTGGATTGTGTAGGATATATTTTATAACATGGTTGTTTATACTTTACAGAATGCTGATGATGTATATTTTGTCTCATCAATAAGCTTACTTCTTCTGTCTTTACCATTACGTAATACCATATGGCGGTATGCTAAGGCAGCAAACAGAAAAATAATTCTGGCTATTTTTGTCATCCATGCAATGTTTTTTCTGGCCGGCTAGAAGTTCAATTCTTAAAATGTCTTCGACCACTGATAAACATCTAGCTAAATCTACAAATGTTATCGAGGACAGTGATAAAGAAGATAACTCTAATAATGATAAAACGTATGCTCATAAAGGATACATCAGATGTTTACTAAATAAACACAAAAGGACAATCAATGTTGTGGGTATAGGGGATCTAGTCGCTTGCAGGTTTATTAAAGGTAATAATTGGTTCAGATCAAGGTAGCCCTATCAATAACCAATTTAAATATTTTTAAAATTATTCATTTAAATGTCAGTCTATTGTATTGTTTTTAAGAATAGATGTAACTCAAGAAACACATTAATCTAATGTTAATTGTATTTTCTTCTACATGCCATATGCAATAAAAAGTCATTTTTTAAAAATCTATTATAGGTAGAACGGCGAAGTATTATTATAATAAGTAATTTTCTTGTTTGCTATACTGTATGTGAATGAGAGAGTTTTATCATAATAAAGAATAAAATATTTTCGTTACTGTAAATTGTCGTCAACGTTCTAGTTCTCTACACAGGTTAGTTTACAAAATAGCCATACAATGTACTCAACACACATATATAGCCTAGAGATTATAGTCATTTATTTACTTCTTATTCTAAAAGATTTTTATCATGCATGTTTTATCCTTGTAATTTTTAATGTTAACATTTTGTTTTAGCTGTGTTCTATTTTTTTTCTCATATTAAAATCCTTCATTAAAAAGCAATTTTTAATTACAGTTTTTGTTTCTAAAATCACTTTTCGCTTTGTATTGTATTGGCTGTGGTTCAGGGTGTATGAGAACTTACATGAGACGTGTTGGAGACCGTATTTATGCAGTTATTTAATAAGCAAATACACACTTTCTTAAAAAATAAATGCATTTTTTACTACACACGTATATAGAGGAGACTAAGGTTTTTATATACATCGTGTAAGTCACATTGTAAACCACATACAGTGATAAGAATAATTCTTGCGTGACTAAGATATACATAAAATTGAGGGTAAAAGCGTAATGTATTGCTCTTTAGCAAGTTGAGCCAATAAAGTGGTCTTCATGTGTTTAGTGATCATGAAATGCAAAAACATAGCGCAGTCACTTTTGAGCTCAATCAAACTAAAGTAAGTCAGGAATCAATCATAGGAGAGTGGTTTCTTACGTTTTTCACGAAACTAAGAATGGGTTTAAATCAGAGACAACTCCATCAATTGTTGAAAGAATGTAGACAGAGAAAAGTAAATCTAAAATTAAAACAAAATTATGATTATTATGTAAGACTGACATAGTACGGTGAAGATAGGGAAGGAAAAGTCACTTGTTCGGAGCTGGCGAACTAAGAGGAAGATAAATATATATTTTACCAGTTTTTGTGATGTAGGTATAGGACAAGAAGGTGTGATCAACACCGTAGGCCTACCCATCAGAGCTATACGGAACCAGGAGCGTGCCACGGATTATCGCCCGCGATCCGAACTCGAGACTTTGGTGCAAGCAGTCATATATTCTATCAACCGACCACCTCCCTCCATACTAGAGGTCGATCTGGCTTTTTATGACAAGTTTTTTTTACGATAGTATAAAGAATATGTTAAAAACAAGCCAATTACTTAAATTAATGAGCATTAAATGTGCATTGCGATAGGACTTACTAAAATGTGTGAGTTGATTTCTAAGTACCAATACTAGCATTACGATTTTTTTTTCTGAGTGTTAAAACTAGCATGGCAAGAGTTATTTCTAAGTGTTAATCCTAATATCTTTAGAAATAACGCAAAACTGACAATTTATACACTACAGATTCAAATAAGACATTTCAAACAATTTCCCAAACTCTTGTTCCGAGTATTTCACTTCTATATTAACCATCTCCACTCGTACACACCCCAAACGATCTATAATAACACACTGAATCTACCATGTAATGCACATACAGCTATTATATACAAACAGCTGTTACTGTTAAAGAATGTCATTTTGCTTCGACATTGTCGCCGCGCCTGTCACCCAAGTGACGTAGAAAGTGTATTCCTTAGAAAACAGCTTTTAGTTTGCCTGATAAACAGGTATATAAAGTGTATACAATACCTACATTTACAAACTCACACACACATAAATAAATATGTATTTATATATACACAGTGGCGTAGCGAGGTCGGGTGTTACCCGGTGCGGCACCTAATGGTGTCACCCCCCCCACCGCACCCCCCCCCCTTTAAGAAAAATATATTATATACACTTGTAAGCATAGTTTTCCAGGCATCTCTTTGGGGGGGGGGGGGGGGGGTGAAAGGAATTTATATAGAAAACATATTTTTACCAAGGTCCGCCACCACGGAAAATGTTATCCGCCCCCCCCCCCCCCCCCTCCCCGGAAATATCAAGTGCCCCCGGAGAAAAAAGTCTGGAAGAAATACTGCTTGTAAGTATGTGTATACGCATGTGTAAAGTTTTTCAATTTTTTTTTCTTTCTGTATGTATTTAATTTTTTAGTCCCACCCCCCACCCCTCCCCCCACCCCATACATGGATTAACATATAGCTTATTACGATTCTCAATCAAACCGTTATCCTCAGGCATATATATATATATATATATATATATATATATATATATATATATATATATATCAAAGTTGAGTTAATGTAACTCCCCTTCCCTGTCACCCCCACGATGATTGCTTTAAACTGTGCTCAGATAATACTAACGATTCATATCTATATTCGGTTATAAATACAGCTGAATGTTGCATGTTTTCTCATGTTTTCCGTCATGGTGTCACCCCCCCCCCCCCTACCTCGACCCTATTCGGGATTTGTCCACTTTGCTCTTAAAAGACTATCTAATGCACTCTAATTAATCATTTAATGAAATGAAATTATCATATTTCTGTATATACTTTGCTATTTTTTGCCTTGGTGTCACCCCCTGAATGGTGTCACCCGGTACGGTCCGCACCCCCCGCACCCCCCTCGATACGCCACTGCACACATACACACACACACATATATATATATATATATATATATATATATATATATATATATATATATATATATATATATATATATATATATATATATAACCTGATGTATAGACCTAGAGACACATGTGTGTTTATTATTTACATTTGTTAGAGTATTTAGCATTTTTAAACAAACGTCTTTATTAAGGGATTAAGTTAAACTGAAGCTCAATTTGTAAAACATTGTAATTGTGTCCATGTTATTTTCATCTCAAAATGCTTTATAATTTCTACAAAATCCTCTATAACTTGAGTTACTTTCAATTATGTTTGTAGGTTTTTTTTTTACAAATTTTTTTCTACTCCAGTTTTCAAACGACTTCGTCTGTAGGCCTATTTTAGAAGAAAAATAAACGACAACATTCCAAGCCATTTTTGTAATACATCTGTTACCATTATTCTCTACATTGTACGCTTTGTATTGATTTAATATAATCCACATCTTCGCCTCGCGAAGCTTGATGTAATTTCTTTTCTACGAAGCGGAAATTTTCCCGAAAATCCTATCTAGGCCACGGATAAAAATAGACGCGTTGCTGGCGTATTCAAAAACAGCAGTGGGAAAAACGATGCAGATGATATGATGCACTACAGAAGGATCCAGTAGACGTCTAAAGCAGAATACTTCGGCTGTTGTGTATGAATTGACGCATTTAACACAGTACTGCTTCAAAATGTAAGTTAAAATGTCATTTTTATGTAAATATATTTAGAAGAATTAATATTATAAATGTATCAATATATCTGTATATCTATATTTATGTATATAAATAAATAAAGAAACATAAATAAATACACACACATTACACACACACACACGCACACACACACATATATATATATATATATATATATATATATATATATATATGATTTCTCCATTTAATCATGCTAAAACGTAACCCCCCCCCCCTTCCTCCCACTCAAAAGATTATTAAAAAGTATATGAAACTTGTAGGTTTAGATTTTATTGATGAGGGTCGAATTGGGACATTAGATTTAGAATCTGCATGAAAAGTCTGTATAGTGGTACTTTTCTACCCAAAACTGACCCCAAACCCAACCCTAACCCTAAACATAGATGCGAATGGTTTTCGTGGCTCATTACCCAGGCATACATGGCAATAATATATAGATCTCAAGAATTCTGTAACTCGATTTGTATCTCCCTTTCAAGTTATCGAGTTATCTGGTCGATAGATTATAGACGTCTGATAAAGGTTGTCACTCAGAGGTTGGCTATGGTTACATTTATATAGATAAGACGAAATATATGAAGTGATATGATTACATGTGTATTCATAAGCCTATGGCCAGAAATATGAAGTGAATTGTTGTCAGTGAATCTATAGTTTTACGTGGCGTATGCAGAATACTACAGTGATGGTGTGGGAGGCTTTTTTTGTTTTTTACTCCATATATTTGTGTCCATTATACTAATAAAATAAATATATAATTATATATATATATATATATATATATATATATATATATATATATATATATATATATATATATTTCTATAAATGGCATTCACAACTTTGAAATTGTAGACACACATCAATCAATCAGCAAGATCACATGATAGCCAGTAGCTGTAACTAAACGTATGACTTCTGTATGACATCTTTCATTTTCGGAGCCCATATGGAGTTACGCCCCTTCCCATTCAACAGCCTACTGTCTATGCCACTGCTAGCTTCTGTGTACTTCTTTTGCACATAGAAACCTTTCTCACACTGCCAGAGAAGGACATATGACATCAACAAGGTTTGATTTCGTCTAAGCGGTTCTAAAGCTAGCGTATTTTGACCTATAGAAAGATTGCTATTTTTCTTGTTACATCACGTTAACACACTTAAATACAAAGACGACACTTAGTTCACCCTACTCTCATCTTTTTGCCCATTCTTAGATTCTCTGTTCTCTATGATCATATTTGGCCCAATATACATTCATATATGTTAGATAATTATAAGGTAATCTAGCACGATTCAAAAATATACAAGAATGTGCAAATATTGTTAAATATATTTTATAGCGCGCAAGTATCTCTCCTGTTCACGTCCTCTCTCTTATCTAAGTATATTGACAAACAGTGTTTCTTCCAGACTTTTTTCTCCGGGGGGGCACTTGAAATCTTCGGGGGGGGGGGGTGGTAAACTTTCTTCGGGGGGGGGCGGACACTGTTAAAAGTATATATTTTCTATATAAATTATATAAATTTCATTTCGTTCGGGGGGGCGGTAAAAATTTTTCGGGGGGGTCTTCGCCCCCCCGAAGAGATGCCTAGAAGAAACTCTGTTGACAAAGCTAACCGATTTATTTTAAAACTATCATAACACACACATCTAATCATAACCAAAAATATTTTCATATTATTATATTTTTATGAAATCCTAAATTACATTTAGTATAACGTGTAAATCAGTTCTTCATTTTATTTTTTAATAGGTCTAATATCAACCTTTTCATTGTTGGACGAGATGGCAATGGAAAAACTTCAACTTGGAAGTCGATTTTGTCACAACAAGGTCGTGTAGTACCATCGCATTTTATAAACATTGAAGGTAACCTCAACATGAATGTTGGTACAGGCATGTTTGATGGAAGACTGATTACCGCCATTGATGGGAAATGTATTGGAGACGCAGAACCGGATCTACCAAGCATACCGTCTTTGAAATCTGCCATAAACAAGGCTATCCCACGTGATGGTATCACAGCCTTTGTGTTTGTTATGAAGTACGGTACTAGATACACTAAACAAGAGAAGGACGCTGTGGAGAGAGCTAAACTTTTATTCGGTGAATACGTCTTCAGAAAGTGGGGAGTTTTAGTTTTTACTCATGGGGATAATTTTTATCTTGATCATGAGGATGATAAAATGGATTTTAATGACTGGTGTGAGCAACAACAAGGAGATATCGCGTCACTGTTTGCTGAGTGTGGCCACAGGTATGTGTTGTTCAATAACAAATCACAAGATAAACAGAGCATGGTGAAGCAGCTGATGGAAAATGTTAATTTGTTACGAGCTGGTCCCTACTTTGGAGAGAAGCCCTTTCCTAAGATCTTTCCTATCTTATTATTTATTTCGTTGTTTTTCATCTTTGATGGATTTTGGTGCCATTTTGCAACATCTTATGTCATTTTGGTTGGAGTGGATAACCCTTTTGTAGGTTTAGTTTTTGGATTTACTGGATGTTTTCTTTTTGTGAAGTTACGTAATCAAAGAGTGGGATTAGATGCGCCATGTACAACGTTCCTGATCATTTGTATTTTTCGGTTTTTGCACATCACGCTGTACTCTTTATATAGTTGGTACTATGAAGCTGGAAGAAAACTTGTAAACATGGACGCTTCAAACTACGTAAATGAAGAAGTAGAAAACAAAAGCACTTAATGCATGCTTTCCTTCTCATAAAACAGCTGTTATCAGACGCTTGTACAGCTTAGTAGAGTATAATAAAAATGTCCAGAACTAGAACCAATGTATGTATTATTTTAAGAATAGAAATGTATCATTATTACTCATTTAAACCCTGAACAATATCATAAGACATAATATTATAAAGAATGTTCATGTTGCCATTATAATGTGTTTTTGTAGAAATTGCATTTAATGTAAACTAACAGTATATCTATACGTGTATCATACATAGATCATCATAATTTCTTCCCGTTCGTGCCCAAGACACATGGGGCAGATGGAGTAGAGTTAATCTGCTTTAATTACCATGTTATGCAGGGAATAATGTGGTCAGCACTATGTCAAGCCTTTGTTTTCCCTAAATTGTGTCAGGTTTCTATCTGTTTGTTTGACTCACGGACGTCCAAGAGACTCAAGCACTGGATCCGAATTTGAGACTTTTATGTTAGAAGATTAGCGCTCTATTACTCGGCCATACACTGTGGGCTATGGCGGTCTTGAGAGTTTTTGAAGTTCGCTTGTTGATGTGACTTTGGACATGTGTTCTGTTATATTCACTGCAGCATTCCATACATTTCCTAATTTTAACGGATTCCCAATTTGGCAAAGCTTTTTTTTATTTAGCAACTTGATTTAAAGCTTTATGAATATGTTACGCTGACTTTTAAAGTGTCTGCTTGCTTTTGTATGTTATTTGTGCTTCAATAGTCTATCTAATCAATTCATAACAGTATGTTACAATATAATACTTCAAAGTATACAATTTTAATTACTTTTATTGTTTAAAACAAATTGCAGAAAAAACTTTGACATAACTAAATATCTTGACATACTTGCCTTTGATTTTTTTCCCATCAGTTTATTTTAACGTTTACTTTCTTCATTAATTTTAATATATGGCATTGTAAACATTTTGCAGATCAATATCATATGAGTTCATCATAACTAGATAAATAAATTATTTAAAAAAAAATGGGTTTTGGTTTGTGCTTGAATTTTTGGTGTGTCGATTTAACAAAAACAAAACAAGTTAATAAAAAGTCTAGTGACAATTTAAGCGCAATTTCCTTATGTTATCCATAACAATTTTAAATCGAGATAAATCATATATTCAGCAAATTTTTTGCGACCGAACGAAAGGATATTTTTGAAAACTTTCTTCGGCAATATTGGTTTAAATTATGGCAGGAATCGATTGGTAAATGTTTCAAGTCGCTAAGTGGTCTGGTTGCCGAGATATGGGCCAAAAACTGCATTTTTTTTCGAGGTTTTTTGGCTTTTCCGGGAAATCCAGGAAGGAATTCCGGGAATTGTTTTGGCGCACAATCATCCTCGGAACTTGCTTAACATATTTCCTTTTGGAACTAGTCCTCGATATTGCTTTGTTGAGGAGGAGATACGACTTAAAGCTGCGGACACCCATCCATCCATCCAGAAATAACAAATTAATAATCGCAATTGTCAGTATGGAAATTGCGCTAAAAACTAACAAAAAAAAAAAAACAAAAAACAACCACACATTTGTTAAAAGACAATAAAGTTGATATGTTAAACAAAATATTTACTTGGTATTTGCCACAACATGTCAGTGTTTCTTTCAGACCTTTTTTTCTAAGGGGGGGGGCTGATAATTTTTATTTTATTTATAAATTCAAAGTCGTTCGTAGAGGGGAAGGCTGTAGACTTTATTAGTGCCCCCCCACCCACACCCGAAGAGATGCTGAAAGAATCTGTGCCATCCATGAATTTAAGCGCCCTAAGAAGATAATTATGATATTTTGGTTAGACCTAGATTCTAGATTTTACATCTAGGAAGATTGACTTTCCATTCCTCCGACAGCTGATCTGTAGATATAGAGAAATGTATTGTATAATCAAATTAGAAGAACTGTTGAAAATTGATAATAGTGTTGGAACCTAATAAAAATAGCGAACGGACGTATCGTTAAATCTATTGCCGACAGAAAATTAGCTTTATAACTCATTACACTTTAGAATGAGCACCAAAATCTTTGATGTAAACCGCCATTATTGTTATAATAAGTAAATAAATCATATATAGGTAAAGTCAATTTTCTGGAAATTTTATAATTAATGTGGTTAATCTACCAATGACTTAATCAATACATTAATTAACGTCTTTAAATTAATTTGTGACTTACAGTTTGGTCCAAAAGTACATTGTTCTCTACATAATTACGTATTGTACAGTTCTACACATAGTACAGACACTCTCCTGTTACCAAACACACACAAAAATAAAATAAATAAATAAATATTCAAACATGTAAACAAACTTGAGTTTTAGTAGAAGGCCTATATAGATGCTTACAGTATATTTATACCGAAATAAATTTGATATATATCATTAAATATTATACATACCTTTTTTAAAAGAAGGTCAATGATGCAAAGGCGTAGCGACCACTCCCGGCGCAGTGGAAGGGACAAACTGTCGATTTGCCGCCCCTTCCCCCCCCTTCCCCCCTATATCTTTTATATTTTTAATTCAAAATAGCAGCTAAAATGAGCTTTTTTGGCGCCCCTAGGGTCGGCGCCCGGGGACATATGTACCCCCCTGTCCCCCGGTTGCTACGCCTCTGGAATGATGCTATACGTCGTTACTACTATCGCAAAAAACGCGTATGGTTTTGTTCCCCCATTCTTGTAATGTCCGCGGACCCTCAGCCGATCTGTTACGCCATTGGCTGACAGTTTTGTCTATTAGGATACGTTCCTAGAACTGAAGCTGTACATAAGTATTTTTAAACTGATTTCTGGACAAACAAGCGGATGTTTATTTTGGGTAGTTGATACACGGTTATAAAAAGTAATAAAACAGCTGCATTAATAGTTTAGCCAAAACTGTGAGATACTGGCAGTGTTTAAATCTGAGCCTGCTTTAGAGGTGCGTATCTGTATACAATGTTAGCAAACAGCACTTCTATAGTTCTTACAATAACTTGTCTTACGTTTTAAATACCCACAGAAATGTTTAGGTCTAGCAGGCAATCGCAACTCATGTGTACGATTTGATATATTATTCAATGCCAATCGTTTATTTTTTTTCTCTCTCTCTCTCTCTCTCTCTCTCTGTCTCTCTTTTTTTCTCTCTCTCTCTCTCTCAATCCCTCTCTCTTAATTTCTCTCTCTCTCTCTTTCTCTCTCTCTCTCTCTCTCTCTCAATCCCTCTCTCTTAATTTCTCTCTCTCTCTCCAGTGAAGCTAGGGGTACTTGTCTCCCATACATCGCTAAACTAGACTAAGAGTGTCTAATACTTCATAACCTTTGTGGCTCCTAATTTCACCAAGGTTTCCTATGTTCTCCAGCAAAGTCAGGATATTTTGATCTTCGTTTTAAATCATAGTTGGGGTCGGCGTGGTCGAGCTGGTAAAGCTCATGTTTGCTAAACCGATAAGTCTCGTGTTCGAACCCTGGGGCAGATGAAGCTCTTTAGCTAGGATAGCAACTGTTCTAGGAGAGACAATTCATAAATCAAATGCTGCCTTGTAGTTTGTTATTAGTAGGACAAAGGCTATGGAAGCAAATCCACAAATAAAAGCAGGCTAAATTGGAGTCACCGGCGTAAATGGCGGATAACCAGCTGACACGTATACATGATCGTGTTGGAAGGGTATCTCTTCCTAAACTAAAATTAAGATCAAAGAAGATAGTCTGGACCAGGAAGGTGTTCTAAGCAAAATTGGGGAGAAGGGTTAGTTCCCTCATTACGTGTATACTTTTCTAGAACTACGTACATGTCGTTTATCAACTAGACCAATTACAGTACAATTAAGTAGTACATTTTCTGCTTGTTTTGAGCCAAATAGCCAAATTATACAAGTTGGGTTGCTGTACTCAGTATTCAGGCCTTATCTGCCCAGGGGCTCGAACTCTGGTCTTTTATGTTTAGAGGACATAAGCGTTACCAACCATACCACGCCGACCCATTTGAATACTAATTTATATTAATAGTCTTTCAATTCATTTCCAATTTTTTTATTATATTATGCTCTGCAAAATTTGCTTTTTGGAGTCACTATCACCCCCATCTTTTTTTCTGCATGTGATAACGTAATCAAGTGAAAACTAGCATAAACTTAGCTGACAATAATTTAAAATATTGTTGTAAATAAAATGATGTTAATCATTAAAAATTCAGACTACATTTCTCATAAGGTAACGTTAAAATGTTTTTTTATAACAAATAAGAACATCTTCTAAACCAAAATGTGTGCATCTAGCAGCTCTTGGCCTTTCCCAGTAGAAGAGAGGTTACAAAACTTCTACTCCTTTACTATAAGAAATTTTTATTTTTTTTCGTTAAATGTGGTTGTGTTATCAGTTGGTAGCTGTGTTTACAGACCCCAAGATGCGCTTCACTGAACTTAACTTATGTGTCCGTGTGTTCACCTTGTACACAGAAGACAGACACCAACGCTGCAACCTAACCCTCCCCACCGATCCCCTCATAGCTACTTTCTCAAGCGTTCTTATTCCCCCCCCCCCCCCAGTCCTTCAGCCGCTTCATCCCTTCCTACCCCCACATCTCAGGTAAACTGTTCTATCATCGAGCATATCCAGCGAATCCCACTGGTCGAAATTAAACAAAAGTTTACCCTCCCCCCCCCCCCCCAAAGATATTTAGATGTAGGTCACGGTTCATAAATAGATGCGTTGCAAACCTATAAAACACAAGACAATACAATATTCTGTTAGACGATTATGCTGCATTAAACGTTGAAGAATCTTACTTGAGACATTTATTTTTGACTAGTTGTCACACAGTACTTCTTCAATATGTAAGTAAATTAATATTTTTTAGACAATGCAACGATCATATATATATATATATATATATATATATATATATATATATATATATATATATATGTATATATATGTATATATATATGCATATATATATATATGTATATATATATATGAATATATATGTATATATATGTGTATATATATATATATATATATATATATATATATATATATATATATATATATATATATATATATATATATATATATAAGTATATATATAGAGAAATGTGTAGGTAGGTAGGTAGGTGGATGTTTTTTTTAGACTTAGAAGATCTTTTTAATCAGTGCGATCGGCTATTAATACGATTCGCTAATATAGTCGTTTTTAAAGTCGAATCATGTGCGACCTCCGGCGCCCCGGCAGTCTGCGAATTAGTGCCACCGGTTTACCGGTGAAAGCTATGGCGCGTACGTTCGTTTTACTTAATGCAAAAGTTTATGGATAAGATGGGGTGCCAAAGTCGTTCAGCAAATTAAATTAGGCTGGAGCTGCGGTATTGTAACCGGGAGCTGAAGACGTCTGGATGTGTGTTCTACACCACTATTATGGAGAGTGATTTATACACACTCAAGGCTTTCATACACTACGCACTGGTAAGTGCTGGGCGGTATTTTAGGTACCCCCCCTATAAACAAAATCCAAGCGCATGCGTTATTTACATTTAAATAACTCAGTTTTAGAATACAAGGTCGTGCGTCCAAGAATATAGGATTGATGAAATTCTTCAAAATTTGGCATCAAACTTTCATCTGGGACAGCGTCAAATTGCCGGAAGAGGAAAACTTATATTGTCATATAGCTAAATATTGTTTTCATAGAGACACATCGAAGATACGACGAGTTCGCAAATCATGTAGTCTATTTTACATGTGTGTACATAAAGACAAACTAAAGTATAGTTTCGTGTTCTTTAATATTATTTCAACTAACTTGAGTTTAGTTTAAAATATATTTTATCTCATTTATTTTTTCTTTAAATAGGTCTTCTAAAAGAGGAATTTTTATTGTTGGTTTAAATGGCAGTGGAAAAACTTCAACCTGGAAGTCAATTTTGTCTAAATTAAATCCTGACTCAAAAGTCATCAATATTCAAGGTAGCCTCAATATAAATATTGGTACAAGCGTGGTCCAAGGTAGGGAGGTAACTGTCATTGATGGGAACTTAGTTGGGGACACTGAAACTGACCTACAATGTAGCAAAGCGTCCTTAGCAACTGCCGTAAGAAAGGCTATCCCACCAACGGGTTTCCACGCTCTTGTGTTGGTTTTGAAGTACGGCACTACGTACCCTAAACTTGAGGAGGACGCTATCTATAAAATCAAATCATTGTTCGGCTATGATGTTTTTAAAAAGAGGGGCGTGTTAGTTTTTACACATGGGGATATATTTGAAATCGATCACGAGGATAAAAGCGTATCTTTTAATGACTGGTGTAAGGAACAAAAAGGAGATATCGCGGAACTATTTAAAGAGTGTGGCCACAGGTATGTGTTGTTCAATAACAAATCACAAGATAAACAGAGCATGGTGAGGATGCTGATGGATATGGTGGACATGTTTCAAAGACTCCCCTACACAAGAAAGCAGTTTGACAAATTCGGTGGCAAAAATATTCCACCTACATTATTAGCCAACATATTAAACGAATTACGGTCTATAACACCTCATACTCAAAAATGCATGATCATAATATGGGTTATATTGTACTTTATCTTCGATGGATGGTATAATAATTTTTCTGTTTTGTATACTCTTGTTGTAAAAGGAGCAAACACACCTCTTCTTGAAATTATTTTTGGTACTGCTGGTTGTTTGCTTTATAAGAGGGTACGCTATCCACAAGCCACGGCAGATATAATCTACATTTCTACACCCCTCTTTACAATATGCATTTTGTGGATAGTTTTGTACACTATGTTTTGTTTCTGTTTCTAATTAATGTATAATTATTGTGTGGATAGTTTTGTACACTGTTTTGTTTCTGTATTTAATTAATTGATACTGTTTTAGCCCGGAAAGATCTTGAAAACATATACTTAAATTATTAAAACGTTAAAACTACAGGGGCTATTCATGAATTTTGTAAACATTCAATGCTAGAAACTACAGCGTTGTAAGCACACGTTAATCAGATAAGAAATATCATTTCATATTTTCTCATCTTTTCATATCTATTTAAATGTAGGCCTATATACTTTTCTTGGAGATTGCGAGGGGGGGGGGGGACATATGTCCCCGGGCGCCGACCTTAGCGGGCGCCAAAATGGGTTGGAAAAATAAATTGAAAGGTTGAGGGGGGTGAAAATCGAAAGTTTGAGGGGGGTGCAATTCGAAAGTTTAAGGGGGGGGGGGGGGTGCAAATCGAAAAGTTTGTCTCCGGGCGCCGGGAAGGGTCGCATACCTCTGGGAGAAAAGTTATTGAACGCTGCATTAGAGACCAATAAGCAAGATTTCATAATAAAAGAAAAGTAACCCTCTTTAGACCGAAATAGCAATATAAACATAAAGTGATATTTCAACGCCAAGGGTAGACAAAGGTACAGAATATAGTCCAAGTAAAGACAGAACAGACAGATATCACTTTATGTTTATATTGCTATTTCAGTTACAACGCCTGCTTCCACCCCTTACCCTCTTTAGACCTAGCGATCCGTATGAAGTAGAAACCACATTAAATAGTACATGTCAACTTATTATTCGCCACATAGGCCGTGGACACCGATTTCAGCCTGCTTTTTTTGTATTTGCTTTCATAAGCTTTGTCCAGCCAAGAAAAAACTACAAGGCAAATGTTTTATTTTTACTTTCTCGTATATACTAAGTATAGAGAAAGTATTGTAATCGTGCACAAAAATAACTTGAAATTTTAACAATTTTCACCGTATTACACCTCAGTCCTTCATCACATCCGATGTATAGAGGACTTATTTTAATCGAGCAAAAATTATCAATCCAGATTTATCAAAATTAAGAGGTTTTATGCGTAATCAGGTCTGAAAAACTGGGCTTTGCAATTCTGTCCGTATGTCTGTGTGTCTGTCTGTCTCTGTGTGTGTGTCCGTGTGTAAACACGATAACTTGTGTACCGTTAAAGCTAGGTTGATGAAATTTCATATATAAGTATTTTATCAAAATCGTAGATCCGTATCAACTTTTGAGCGATTTCCGATAACCGGAAGTTTTAAAAATAGAATAAAATCTCGTAGACAAAAGATTGCACACCAAGTGAACGCCAAATTAAAAAAGTGCATAATAGTGCGCAATATTATTAGTACTTTAAAAATTTACATTAGTTTTTTGAGAAATCGGAAGTAGCATAAATTAGTACTTCCGGGCAACGGAAATTACTCAAAATTTGACAGAAGGTAGAGAATTAGATTTTATACTTACATGTGAAATTTCATTTATCTATCTGAAATAGTACTAAAGTTATAGGCTTTTGAAAAATTCAAAGTAAAAAAGTACCACTTCTTGTTATCGGAAATCGCTCAAAAGTTGATACGGATCTACGATTTTGATAAAATACTTATATATGAAATTTCATCAACCTAGCTGTAACGGTACTCATGTTATCGTGTTTACACACGGACAGACAGACACACAGACATACGGACAGAATTGCAAAGCCCAGTTTTTCAGACTGGATTACGCATAAAACCTCTTAAATTTGATAAATCTGAATTGATAATTTTTGCCCGATTAAAATAAGTCCTCTATACTTTGGATGTGATGAAGGACTGAGGTGTAATACGGTGAAAATTGTTAAAATTTCAAGTGATTTTTGTGCACGATTACAATACTTTCTCTATACTTCGTATATACGAGAAAGTAAATATTCGAGAAAGTTTATGGGAGATCACTCCCGGTTTATTTTTTCATTTTGTCTTGTTTCTACTACAAGATTTGCTGTCCCCAGCTAACGAGACGCATCTGTCCGGGGGTACGAACTATAGACTTTTCAACCCATGAGCTTTACCGACTCGAACAAGCACATTAGATGGGAACATTAAACAAAAACTAATACTGAAATTGGCAATTTAAATAATGTATTTTAATTTTTTTAATGATATTTTTTAAACAAATTGGAAGCATTTTGTATTTTTTTTTTAAATTAACCACAGTACCCGTCTCTGCGCGTTGCCGCAGGGATACTTTAAAGTCTGACGAAATATATAAGAAGCATTTCAGCAATGCGTTACCAAAATATTTTCTTAGACTTGTGACCCTTAATTTTCTAAAACTTAGTTATTTCAGCGTAAACAATGCCTGCATTTGTATCATATGTATAGGGGCAAATCCTTCATACGTTAATCACTCACAGCCTAAGTGTCGGGGACGAAGACGGGCTCTCTCGTGAGTCCCCGATTACAATATCGCAGGAGCGCCGCGTACAGAACGACTCAATATGAGCAGGGAAATGGGTTGGTGTGTAAGTATGTCCACATTCGATCAATCTCCGAAGGCAATTATAGTAGTAAGCTCATGTGATGATGTAACTGATAGTTCTCTCCTAATAAAACAAACGGCGGTATTTTTGCCGTTCATTCAAACACTTTTCGTTGTGTTTGTATTATTAACAATTGATTACTAATAAATAACTTTAAAAAACATTTTGGTTACTCCAATCCGTTTAGTTATTATGTTTATCTATTTTAGACAGTATTTGGCAGCAATGCTTAAAATACTTTATCTCTAATTATCTCGGAGAAAAATGGTGTACATAATTATTATAAATGTAAATATTAAGGACTAAATGGTGTTTTTTATGTTTATTTGAAAATGTTATGCTAAATCGAACATAAAATCTTAAAAGAAACATTTTTGTTGTTACTTTAGATAATTGGTACCAAAAGATAAAATTGCAGTTAGCCTAAAAAATACACATGTTTCTATATTGATCAGAGTTATATACTATTTACCATTTATGTAAAAATAAAAAATGTCCCTTTTTACTGTTAGTGGTATGCTATGCTCGTCTTAATAACACGTTGAAGTATCTTAAAGTATCAGTAATTTTACAATATTAAAACATCAACCAAATCAATAAATTAGAATAATAAATTTGAATAATGTAAAATTCTAATAGTTTAAAAAATACATTTTTTTAAATGTGTAAGAAACATGTTTCTCTTTCTTTAGTTATAACGAAAGCTTCTTACGTATCCCGTTTCTCTCAGCTTTCTGTATATTTTACGCTGACTTTTAAAAGTGTGTGCTTGCTTTTGTATGGTATTTGTGTTTCAATAGGCTATCCAATCCATTCATAATAGTTACAATATATTATTTCCAAGTATGCAGTTTTAATTATTTTTATTGTGTAAAAAAGGAATATAAAAAATGAAATGCAATTAAACATCTTGACATATTTGCTTTGTTTTGTTTTAATAAGTCTATATAAAATTATTACTTTCTTCATTGATTTTAACAAATGGCATTGTAATTGTCTTGATCAATATAACAGGAGTTTAAAAATTTAAAAAGATATATTGTTGAAAATGTTTTATGTTGGATGTTTGTTCATGCTTGATTACGTGGGTGTCAATTCAAAAAATTAAATTAAAAAAAAATTAAATTTTAAGCAGAATATTTACTGGTATTTTACTAGTTACTACCACCCGTGAATTTAACGTGATAGCGATGCAATTCTTGGATATGGTTTCTCGAGTTCAGTTTTAAGTATGCTGTGGAATGTTAAGTTTGATTATTGTTTTTATTAGAAGGCACTCGGACTATTAATATTCGTCTACACCTCGCCTCACAGGCGTAGCGACCCTTCCCGGCGCCCGGGGACAAACTTTTCTTTTCGATTTGCACCCCCCCCCCCCCCCCACAAACTTTCGATTTGCACCCTCCTCAACCTTTCAATCTATTTTTCCAACCCATTTTAGCGCCCCTTAAGGTCGGCGCCCGGGGACATATTTCCCCCTCGCCCACCCCACCCCCCTCGCTACGCTACTGCTACACCTTACAGAGAGTGTCTTCAAGTGGCTGTTTATATAAACGCCAAGGTAGACACCAGTTGAAAAGTTATTGAACACTGCATTAGAGACCAATAAGCAAGGTTTCATAATAAAAGGAAAGTAAAGAACCCTCTTTAGACCTAGCGATCCGTATGAAGTAGAAAACACGTTTCTTGACCTCAATATATGAAGGGAAGGTATGGTCAGCAGTTTGCCCAGCCGCCTTTACTTTCCCTAACATGAGTTAGGTACCCATCAGAGCTGCAGGGGGAGTCAGGGACGTTCTACTGTGTTGGACCGGCATTCGAACTCGGGCATTTGAGATGTTAAATCTAACATTTTATATTGAATAAAACAATCACAAATGTGGTCTGACACACACCCACGCTACAAAAAAGACGACGGACATTACAAATTGACACGCAGATAACACATAATTTTCAGACTCAGATCATACCACAAAAGACTAAAAGAACACATATATAAAAAAACTAAAAGTTGGGAATTGTGAAACTTGCTCTTGTGGGCCCGGAGAATACAGAGCACGTACTTTAGGACTGCTCCTTATAAGTCAAGCGCGATCCAAACACTGGCCCCTATACACCCCACTCAAGGAAAAACTATATGGGGCACCCGCTGATCTGGAGATCACAATCCAGTTCATACACGAAGTTGGACTTGTTTAAATCCTCCGCAATAAACTAAATTAAGAAAGCGGAAGAAGAAAAAGAACAACTAATGGCCAGACAAGGATGATTTCACAGCGCTTCTGATGCAGTATAACAAAGGGTAGTTGGTAGTACTGTATAACAAAGGTTAGTAGATTATGCTGTATAACAAAGGGTAGTAGGTTGTACTGTAAAACAAAGGGTAGTTTGTAGTGCTGTATAACAAAGGGTAGTTGTTAGTGATGTATAACAAAGGGTAGTAGGTTGTGATGTATAACAAAGAGGTAGTTGGTAGTGTTGTATAACAATGGGTAGTTTGTAGTGCTGTATAACAAATGGTAGCTGGTAGTGCTGTATAACAAAGGGTAGTAGGTTGTGCTGTATAACAAAGGGTAGTAGATTCTGCTGTATAACAAAGGTTAGTTTGTAGTGCTGTATAACAAAGGGTACTTACTAGTGCTGAAGTTTGTAGTGATGTATAACAATAAGCAGTTGGTAGTGCTGTACAATAGTGGATAGTTGTTAGTGATGCATAATAAAATACACTTTATAGTTATTTATATAGTAGTG